GTTCATTTGTATTTTGATTCTGTAGACCACTTGTCGATGGATATCCAGAATCAGCAGCATCCACCGCGGTCCTTTTTATCCTGGGCGTCGATTGAGCCAGTATAGATTTCATTTTGGTTTGCTTCTCCATAGTACTAATGGTTTAGGTTCTCTTGGTTCCACTCTCAGCAGGCATTTGGAAACAAAAAACACTGAAAACACTCTCAACTGCAAAAAGCCACTTTACTTGGATCTGCACGCATCATTCGAAAATATATCACACAGTCCTAAACGCTTGGGAAGTGTTCGACTTGTGATTTTGTGATACGAAATCCAGCATATGATTCTCGTTTGCTGTGACATACTGTGTTTTTATGTCTGTAAAATACTACTACTACTACTACTACTAATAATAATAATAATAATAATAGACTCTGGCACAAGCCAGTAAAGGTAGTCCCAGTGGTGATCAGCACACTGAGTGCAGTGCCTAAAGACCTTGGCTTGCACTTAAACACAATGGGCGCAGACAAAATTACCAGCTGCCAGCTGCAAAGGCCACCTTACTGAGATATGCACGCATTATTCGCTGATACATCACACAGTCCTAGACACTTGGGAAGTGTCTGACGTGTGATCCAATACAACAGCCAGCAGAGTGATCTTGTCTGTTGTGGACTCATCTTGTTGTGTTTCAAATCATCATCATCATCATCATCATCATCATCATCATCATCATCATCATCATCATCTGTGGCCCAGATGATTCACTGGAACTTATATCACAAATACCACCTGCCAGCAGTAAAGAATTGGTGGGATCATAAACCCACAAAGGTTGTGGAAAATGAACATGCAAAAATACTGTGGGACTTTCGAATCCAGACTGACAAAGTTTTGGAACACAATACACCAGACGTCACCATTGCGAAAAAGAAAAAAGTCTGGATTATTGATGTCGTCATATCAGGTGACAGTCGCATTGAGGAAAAGCAACAGGAAAAACTCAGCCGCTATCAAGACCTCAAAATCAAACTGCAAAGGCTCTGGCATAAACCAGCACAGGTGGTCCCAGTGGTCATTGGCACACTGGGTGCCGTGGCAAAAGATCTCAGCCGGCATTTGGAAACAATAAACATTGACAAAATCACAATCCACCAATTGCAGAAGGCCACCTTACTTGGATCTGCGTGCATCATTTGAAAATACATCACACAGTCCTAGATGCTTGGGAAGTGTTCGACTTGTGATTTTGTGATACGAAATCCAGCATATAGATCTTGTTTGCTGTGACACACTGTGCTTTTGTGTCAGTAAAATAATAAATGGGTTGCTGTGAGTTTTCAGGGCTGTATGGCCATGTTCCAGAAGCATTCCTTCCTGACGTTTCGCCTGTATCTATGGCAGGCATTCTCCGAGGTTGTGAGGTCTGTTGGAAACTAGGCAAGTGAGGTTTATATATCTGTGGAACGTCCAGGGTGGGAGAAAGAACACTCTTCAGGAGGTCCCGGTGATGCCTTTTCTCCCCCTCTTCCTCCTCGTGGCTTTGGCCTGATGTCATTCAAATATGGCAACAGTCCCGTTTTAAAAGCAAGGTTGATATCTCTTTACAGGCTCGAGAAAAACACAAAAAGGAGCTTCCAAGAGAGTGAAAGAGCCATGGACGATTTCCATGGATGAGGCTCATCACACACTATGCTGTTAAGGTGCTATGATGCCACTTGAACATTCAAACATGGCAACAATCTCAATTTGAAAGCAAGGTTGAGATTGCTTCACAAGCTCAAGAGGAGCGCAGAAAGAGGCTTCCGAGAGACTGAAAGAGCCATAGATTGTTTCCATGGATGAGGCTCATCACACAACTACACAGTTATATTTCTATGCTTCCACTTGAATTGCCAAGAAAACATCCTGATTGGGAGTTTAGCCTCACTTCCTAACGAAGACAGGAACCAAAGTTTCCCCTCCAAGCAAGGAAAAGTTTTCTGAATTTCAAGTTGCCACTGAAATACTAATAATAATCTTGTGCTAAAAAATATCTTATGCCCAAAAAGTGGTCCGGAAATTGAAGTTGCCACTGAAATAATAATAATAATAATCCTGTGTTTTTTAAAAGAAGTGGTGCCGAAAAGGAATCAGTGTGCAAACAAGGATTGTGACTGAGCGCAAGATTAAGAACCGCCCCGTTTGCAAAGCTCTCCAGCCACATGCTCTCCAGAAGCCCTTTGTTTTCAAGCCAGCTTCTGCTTTCTTTTGCAGATCAAGGCTGGCATTGGGGTTTTTTGGTGTTTTGATACCGGCAGAGTGGGAATTAATTTGCAAGGGTGTCCCAAACAACATGCCTGGGAAAAAGAAGTTGTGTTTACATGCAAAGGAGAGATCCCAAGTCAAACTCAAGAGGAAAACAAAGAGGGTGGCTTGCAATGCAAGGGGAGGGGAGATATGCCGTTCTGTCTACACCAGGCATGGGCCAACTTCGGTCCTTCTTCCAGGTGTTTTGGACTTCAACTCCCACCATTCCTAACAGCCTCAGGCCTGAGGCTGTTAGGAGTGGCGGGAGTTGAAGTCCAAAATATGACAGGGCGAAACAACAGGAGATAATGCTTCTATAACATGGCCATGCAGGCCAGAATACTCACAGCAACTTTATTATTATTATTATTATTATTATTAAAATTGCATTATTTCTACAGTGTAAGTGCACCCTTTGAGTCACATGAAAAGGAGGCGGCAGCACAAGTGCAGTTATTGATGCCCAATTTATGGGAAATTATTTGGAGTGACAAACCCGATGACACCCAGAAATCTCTGCAAGCAAGTGCCTGGCATTGTGCACCCAAATACCTGACAACATTCCTATTTGACCCTCTGACATCATGGAAATAGCTGTGTTACTTGCAAGACTTGAAGGCAGGTGTTAAGACTGATAGGAATTGCAGGAGTTGGAAGTCCAAAGCACTTGGTGGGCCGAAGTTTGCCCACACCTGCTTTAAGGGGCTGAGGGGGGAAAGGAAGGGGCCTGAGGCTGTTAGAAATGGTGGGAGTTGAAGTCCAAAACACCAGGAGGGAGGGCCCAAGCTAGCCCACGCCTGCCCTACACAGAAGGAACTAAAAACACACTCAAAAGGTGTTTTATTCTTAATTATTTAGAATAAATAATTCTAGCTGCGGCACAGCTAGTTAGTAGTTAGTAGCCAGCTGCATTAAATTACTACTGACCGAGAAGTCATGAGTTTGAAGCCAGCCCAGGTCAGAGTAAGCTCTCGACCATTAATAGTCTAGCTTGCTGTCGACCTATGCAGCCGGAAAGACAGTTTCATCTGTCAAGTAGGAAATTTAAGTACTGCTTTATGAGGGGAGGCTAATTTACGACACCATAAAACCTTCCAGCGTGGGTAAGAATGAGGAAGTACTCCATCAAGGACTCGGTGTCACAAGTGGTCGGTGACGCGGCAGCTCCCCCTGTGGCTGGAATCGAGCACACCCTCATGAAGCTGGAATGTTAAATTGCCTCTATGTCTGTCTATATATGTTTGTCTACAGCTGGTGGAGTTGTTGTGTCAGCTCAGGTCCTCCCTCTTTAAAGATTTCAGCAGGGATCCCATCAGGTCCGCTGTCTTTGTTATTTTTGATTATTCTATGTTGTATATTTAAATGGCATTGAATGTTTGCCATGTATATGTGAAGTGTCATCCGCCCTGAGTCCTGGCCCTGAGTCCCCGGCAGGGTGGGAAGGACGGAATATAACTGTTATAAATAAATAAATAAATAAATACTCTGCAAGGCCTTACTCTTAATTACTTAATTAAGTAATTAATTAAGGAGATTCCATCTGAACATTAGGAAGAACTTCCTGACTGTGAGAGCCGTTCAGCAGTGGAACTCTCTGCCCCGGAGTGTGGTGGAGGCTCCTTCTTTGGAGGTTTTTAAACAGAGGCTGGATGGCCATCTGTTGGGGGTGCTTTGAATGCAATTTTCCTACTTCTTGGAAGGGGGTTGGACTGGATGGTTCAAGAGGTCTCTTCCAACTCTATGAATTAATTACTCTTCAAGGCCCCAGCCTCCTCCTCCCACTTTCCCCCATTGAGACAGCCATGGCAGCTTTTGTTGTGATGTAATTTTTCTGTTATTTTGTGTTTAACTTTCCTGTATTGTTTTTGGGCTTGGCCTCATGTTAGCCTCCCTGAGTTCCCTTTGGACAGTTGGTGGCAGGGTATAAATAAAGTTTATTATTATCATTATTACTTAGTTAAGTAAGTATTAATTACTCTTCAAGGCCCCAGCCTCCTCCTCCCACTTTCCCCCATTGAGACAGCCATGGCAGCTTTTGTTGTGATGTGATTTTTCTGTTATGTTGTGTTTAACTTTGCTGTATTATTTTTGGACTTGGTCTCATATTAGCCTCCCCTTTGAGGAGATGGTGGCAGGGTATAAATAAAGTTTATTATTGTTATTATTACTTGATTAAGTAAGTATGAATTCCTCTCCAAGGCCCCAGCCTCCTCCTCCTCCCCCTCCCACTTTCCCCATTGAGTCAGGCATGGCAGCTCCCCTTTCCCCATCTACAGGTGCCAAACAGTGGAGGGTGGAAGTTGGGACCATAACAGAACGTTCGTGGACTGAACGTTCGAAATGGGACTTCCGGGATTCCCCAAAGCAAGGCAAGGGTTCCTTGCCTTGCTTGGAGGGGCAGGGCTTGGCTGCAAACAGGTAGGCAGCCTTTGAGGGTCACTTGGGGCAACAGAAAGCACTCTTTCCCTCCCTTCTGAGACCAAAGAGAGAGGAGGAAGGAAGGAGTCCAGGGCCAGGCACTCTGCCTTCCCTGCCTTGCCTTCCCTCTGCAGAGACACTCCTTCCTCGTCCCCGGCCATGTGGCGCCCCCGACCTGCAACAATGCCTTCCCGCTCCAAGCCCAACTCCGGCTCAATCACGCCTCCAATCACTTTCCAACTTATCCTCACATCGTAGTTCTCTCCAAAGGAGGAGTTTGGAGGTTTTCCCCAAACTTTTCCAACTCTTACCTCCCACAAGTCACTCTTTTGTGCAGAAAGCCTTCCTCGCCTCTCTCTCTCTCTGTCTCCCTCGTTTGTCTCGCTGCTGGGATGCCAAGAGCAAGCGCCGGGCTCATTGGCTTAACCGCCAGCCCCGCCTGCGCATGCGCCATTCCCACGGGCTGGCTCCTCAATGGAGCGCCTCCTTGGCGTGTTGCGTGTCCCTTTAAGACGAGAGGGGGCGGGGGGCGAGGGATGGGAGGCAGAGGAGGAGGGGGCGTGGTCGCTGTGACTAAAGGGGTGACGTCACAAAAAAGAATGGGTTGCATTCTTGAATGAGAATGGAATTCAAAGTGAGTTTTCCGGGCTGTATGGCTATGCTCCAGAAGCATTCTCTCCTGAAGTTTCGCCCACATCTATGATAGGCATCCTCAGAGGTTGTAAGGTTTGCTGGAAATTAGGGAAGACAGGGTTATATCTCTCTGGAATGTCCCAAGATGGGAGAAGAAAAGTCTTGCCTGCTTGAAGCAAGTGTGAATGTTGCAATTGGACACCTTCATTAGCATTTAATCGCCTTGCAGCTTCAAAGCCTGGCTGCTTCCTGCCCGGATGAATCCCACCTTGATTAGTATTTAATCGCCTTGCAGCTTCAAAGCTTGGCTGCTTGCTGCCTGGGGGAATCCCACCTTTATTAGAATTTAATCACCTTGCAGCTTCAAAGCCTGGCTGCTGCCTGCCTGGGGGAATCCCACCGCGTTTAATCGCCTTGCAGCTTCAAAGCCTGGCTGCTTCCTGCCTGGGGGAATTTCCCCTTGATTAGCATTTTGTGCAGAAAGCCTGGCTGCTTCCTTCCCGGGGGAATGCCACCTTGATTAGTATTTAATGGCCTTGCAGCTTCAAAGCCTGGCTGCTTCCTGCCTGGGGGAATCCCACCTTTATTAGTATTTAATCGCCTTGCAGCATCAAAGCCTGGCTGCTTCCTGCCTAGGAGAATCCCACTTTGATTAGCATTTAATCGCCTTGCAGCTTCAAAGCCTGGCTGCTTCCTGGGGAAATTTCCCATTGATTAGCATTTTATGCAGAAAGCCTGGCTGCTTCCTTCCCGGGGGAATGCCACCTTGATTAGTATTTAATCCCCTTGCAGCTTCAAAGCCTGGCTGCTTCCTGACTGGGGGAATCCCACCTTGATTAGTATTTAATGGCCTTGCAGCTTCAAAGCCTGGCTGCTTCCTGCCTGGGGGAATCCCACCTTGATTAGCATTTAATCGCCTTGCAGCTTCAAAGCCTGGCTGCTTCCTTCCTGGAGGAATCCCACCTTGATTAGTGTTTAATCACCTTGCAGCTTCAAGGCCTGGCTGCTTCCTTCCTGGGGGAATCCCACCTTGATTAGTATTTAATCACCTTGCAGCTTCAAAGCCTGGCTGCTTCCTGCCTGGGGGAATCCCACCTTGATTAGTATTTAATCACCTTGCAGCTTCAAAGCCTGGCTGCTTCCTTCCTGGAGGAATCCCACCTTGATTAGTGTTTAATCGCCTTGCAGCTTCAAAGCTTGGCTGCTTCCTTCCTGGGGGAATCCCACCTTGATTAGCATTTAATCGCCTTGCAGATTTGTCAGTTTGGATTCAAAAGTCCCACAGTATTTTTGCGTGTGTGTGTGTGTGTGCGTGTATGTTGTATGTTATTAATATACAGTGCAAGTGCACCCATTGAGGCACAGGAAAAGGAGGCAGCAGCACAAGTGCAGTTATTTATGCCCAGTCTGGACTAACATGAGACCCAAGATGGCTCACAATACAGTGTAAAACAAAATACCACTCCAAAATAAATTATTCTATAGAATCATCAAAATTGTAGTTGGAAGTGTCTTTATTGATCACGGAGTCCAGCCATCTGCTCAATGCAGCATTTCCAGGTGAAGTAGCTCTGTATCCTGTTTTTGATGATATCCAGAAAACTGCACCTTCTTTCTAGGTGGTCAGCTCCATTGCCAAACCATTTTTTGTTGTTGTTGTTGTGTGACTTCAAGTCATGGTCAATAGGAAATATTCAGTCAAAATTATCCCTTGAATGCATGAAACCCTTAGACTTGGTCAGATGTGCCCCCTTCTTTTTGTAATTAAACAGTACAGTCTGGTCACCCATTATCATCTCTTTACCAGGATGAACACATCCATTTCTTCAACCTTTCCTCGTGTTTTGTTCTCCAAACCTCTTATCCTTTTAGTTTGTCTTCTCTGAACTTGCTCCAACTTGCATCCTTTCTGAATGTATTACAGCTGGCCCTCCTTACCCAGAGGTTCATGGGTTCCACCGTGGCTCAACATTATTTTTGGGGGTGGGGGGGTGGGGGGAGAGTTATTTAAACCTTTATTGTACTGAGAATTATGCTGATATGTAGTTATGCTGCTTGTAGCCCTTTGCCATTTCACAGGTCTGAAATGCTCTCTCTGGCACTGATTTGCCATTTTTATAAGACCCAGCCATTGTACATAATGGGGCTACAGCAGGCATGGGCAAACTGTGGCCCTCCAGGTGTTTTGGACTTCAACTCCCACAATTCCTAACAGCCTATCGGCTGTTAGGAATTGTAGGAGTTGAAGTCCAAAACACCTGGAGGGCCAAAGTTTGCCCATGTCTGCTAGAGAGTATATATAGGCTGCAGTTTGTTCCACCTGGAAGTAATGCCTTGATTAATGGTGCATGTGGACTGATTGTATCTCTGGGTGGCATACAGACCCCAAGGTTCATAACTCTTGACCTGTCCAGGCTATTTTTTAAATGGGTTATGGATCTTCCCTGCATTCTTTAACATATTCAACAGATGAAAACCGTTGGGAAGCACAGAAATGAAAAGTCCCCAGACTCTACCCAATCTTCATAAGGGTTCTCTGTAGGGTGGGTTGTTAGATTGGTTTGTTTCCATCATAAACGCATCGCTGAGTCAAGGGAAATTCCCGTCCTGCCTTAAGCAGGTGGTGGTAAAACCATTATTGAAAAAGACCTCCCTTGACCCATCCGTGCTAAATAATTACAGACCAATTTCCAACCTCCCTTTTTTGGGCAAGATGCTGGAGCGGGTGGTCGCCTCGCAGCTCCAGGGGTTCTTAGACGACACCAACTTTCTAGATTGATCACAGTCTGGTTTCAGACCCGGGCACAGTACCGAGACAGCTTTGGTCGCCTTGGTGGATGACCTCCACAAGGAACTGGACTTACTTACTTACTTAGGCGATCCCTCATTGGCCGAGTAGGATAGTCTTCCAGGATCAGAATTCTTGTGAGTCTGTAGGTGGCTGTATTCTTGATCTGCATCTTCTTCCGCAGTGAGGGCATCAGTTTCCAGGTGGAAAGCGGTCCTGGTTTGGCTTGACGCGCCTTCCTCTTGGCACGTTTTTCTCTTTCGCCCTCCATTCGTGCCTCTTCAAATTCTGCAGCACTGCTGGTCACAGCTGACCTCCAGCTGGAACGCTCAAAGGCCAGGGCTTCCCAGTTCTTCTCCTCCCCCCCTAAAATGACTAAATCCCATGGTTCCTCCCTGTTGGGCTCCTTTCCTACAAATGCACTTTTATCCCTCTCACTCAGGGTTTTAACTTTTTAAACATTTTACCTCACACATTTGGCCCGCCCTCCATGTCTGGTTTTAATATGCTGTTTTATATTGTTGATTTTGTTATTTTATATTTTGTTATGATATATTTTGTCACTGTGTGCTTATTATGTTGTATTATTTTGGGCTTGGCCCCATGTTAGCTGCACCAAGTCCCCTTTGGGGAGGTGGTAGTGGGTTATAAATAAAGTGTATTATTATTATTATTATTATTATTATTATTATTATTATTATTATTATTATTATTCTTTTACCTTGTGTTTCTATTTTTTATTATTATGCCTGGTGTTTTTATATTGTTTTAATCTGCTATTTTAAACTGACGTTTTGTTTGTTTATAACTTTTGTATAAAGGATGTTTTAACCATATGCAGCTTTTTGAATGCTGTAGGCTGCCTCTGCATCCTAGAAAGATGGGATATAAATCCAAGCAAGCAAATTGCAAAAGTAGAAGGGATAAATACTAAAAGATAGCAAACATCTATCTGTATGACTAAGGATCTCCTCCTTCAGTGTGGTCTCTGTGAAATTCATACCTGTTTCTCTGTTCCTTTTGTGCGAATTTCACAGATGACCACTCGAAGAAACATGGTTACAGGTAAACAACCTTATTTTCTTCAGCATGGTCTCTGAAATTTGCACAAGGAACAGGGGAAAAGGTGCACATTTCACAGATGACCACTTGAAGAAACATGGCTACAGGTAAGCAAACTTACTTTACTTTCTATCAGTGTCATGAAAGGCACACACAGAAGTATTTCCTTCGTTGCATGGTATATAAACACATTGCCTTTGGAAAGGCTGATATTACTGCTAAGCAGCTTGATAATTTATAAACAGGCAGAACACACCAGCAGGATGTTTTCTATTAGCTTTGTATAGAAATGATTTTATATACGTTATGCAGTTTGCAATAGGTTTTTGTATCTTAACTTGCTAGAGAGGGTTGCCAGTTTAGGTCTTATGTTACCTCCCATGTGTATAAAAGGTAAATGTAAAGGCTTCCCCTGACATTAAGTCTAGTTGTGTCTGATCCCAGGGGGTGGTTCTCATCTCCATTTCTAAGCTGAAGTGCCAGCGTTGTCTATAGACACCACCTAGGTCATGTGTCCAGCATGACTGCATGGAGCGCCATTGCCTTTCTATTGATCTACTCACATTTGCATGTTTTCGAACTGCTAGGTTGGTGGAAGCTGGGTGTAACAACGGGAGCTCACCCTGCTCCCTGGATTCAACTTGCTAACCTTTCGGTCAGCAAGTTCAGCAGCTCAGTGTTTTCACTTGCTGGGCCACCAGCCCCCCCCCCCCCCGGTCCGGTTTGTGTGTATATGTTTTGTCTATTGACTTCAATAAAGCACTGTTGAGCAGACTGTATTATTCTCACAGTTTTATTTGTAAAGACCATTGCATGAAAAGCTGCATTTAATTGTAATCCAAACCCCGGGAAAAGGGAAAAGAAAATCCAATGCACATCAGTTTGTGATATGTATGCTAAAGTGCTTGAAATAACAATACTTTTACCGATATCCACTTCCTTAACATTATCCAGTCTTGATTAACTTACTAATCATGTAAAACATAAAACCAGCAACATACTCTAGGGTTACTTAAGGGATGGGGAGGGAGGGGTTCTTTAATAAACTATACCTCATCTACTTGTACAATTTCAACTGTAACATACAACATTTCCTTAATAAGATATTTACTTTTGATGAGAGGAAGAGAAAGCAAAATACATATAACGGCAGCATTTCTCAAACACACTAAACCAAAACAAAAACAAACCCCGATTAACAGCCCAGGCCCAAACTTTTTTATTCAGAAGTCATTTCCATGTAAGTCCATTGGAATTTACCTCTGAATATATGGGCTGCAGAAGATGAAATAGAGTTTTCCAGCACCGAGATAACCTCATTCTGGTTAGCCTGAGATTTGTGAACTGTTCACACACTAATCCCCATTTAAATTATATTAAAAATACTATATTAGTATAGCAGTTATGCTAAAGAATGTTTGAGAGAAACTGTTCCTGAATACAGAATTAACTGTCATTAACCAGAATGCTTTGGTCATCTTAAAAATTCACTTTCTCACATCTACAAAGGCTTATTAATACTGATGCCAAAAGGGTGTACTAAACTGTGGAGAACCACAACTAAGTCTTCACCCTCCTTAGAAAAGACAGCAGTTTCTTTACGTTCCAAATGAGCAAAGCTGTCTGGCAGTTATTTTCTTTTATTTGCAAAGTTGCACATGAAAGGAAGAAAACAAACATCCACAACGAAGTGCACTCCTGAAGTTGTCAAATTCACAGATCTATCGAAGATCAATCTCATGCTTCAAAGGTTGGGATAATACTATGTAAATGTACAGCACTGTATGGCTAAAAGGAAAGAGACATATGAGGGTTGAATGAAAAATAATGCCTCTACCTTCGTAACTCCTCAACAGATAGCAGTACTGGTATGCGGCAGGTACTGGCTTGTTCAGTAGATTCTCCTCTACAGTTCCATTTTGGCCTTAGCTTTGAACGGTTGTGTTGTTAACGTGCAAAGTATGGAACCCTGCACAGACGGCTGGTCAATGCAACTTAAGCAATGTGCAGTCACTGAATTCTTGACAGCAGAAGGTGTCACCCCAAAGGAGATTCATCAGAGAATGCAAGCTGTTTATGGTGACTGTGTTGATGTGAGTACTGTGCATCGTTGGGTGAGTACGTTTAAAGATGTTGAGGTGACACCTTCTGCTGAATTCAATGACTGCACGTTGCTTAGGTTGCATTGACCGACAGTCTGCGCAGGGTTCCATACTTTGTACTTTAACAACACAACCGTTCAATACTAAGGCTTCCCACCAAAATGGAACTGTAGAGGAGAGTCTACTAAACAAGACAGTACCTGCCAGATACCAGTACTGCCATCTGTTGAGGAGTTACGAAGGTGGAGGCATTACTTTTTATTCAACCCTCGTATATATGATGTTTTTCACACACCATTCATGTGGAGTGAAACTGCCAACTATGATGTTTGACTTCACAGGCTAGCTGTAGAGCAGGCATAGGCAAACTTCGGCCCTCCAGGTGTTTTGGACTTCAACTCCCACAACTCCTAACAGCCTAGAGAATGCTTCTGGAAAATGGCCATACAGCCTGGAAAACTCACAACAACCTAGTGATTCCGGCCATGAAAGCCTTAGACAATACATTATTTAGGGAGCTTGTTGAGTTCAGAGAATATCCAGCAAAAAATACTCAGAAATACTGATGAGGGCTTTTGAATGCACAAGTCACATTTATGCTGCCAAAACCCTTTGAGATGAATCTGATAGTGAAAGTTGAATAAATCTGGTGGCAAAAGATTCAAGTAGTCAGAGATACTAGTGAAATATCCAGACATATGTAAGTCAATAGTTGTCTCAAGGTTTTTGAACTGTAATATGGAAATAATGTCTGTTTGAACCAAAGAAGGGAGTCCACATCATTGCAAAGCATGTATTAACAATTGTATAGGATTTTCTCCCAAGCCATGTATAATAAATGGTTGTGTTTTCTTTCAGACTCCTCCTCCTCTTCCCTTTCCAAGATAATTTTATTTTCGGAAGCCAAAAGTCTAGGGCTTGGAAGGGAAGGAGAGCTGAAAGGTCCATTAACCCTTCAAAACTATAATTTAGTTCCCAACCACCCCTGTCCCAGCTATTCACATTTTGCAATTTTTTTAATGCAGCCAAAATGCTTCAGATGCCTGTTTGAAGCTCAAGGGTTTTGCAATTTCAGTGTGAAATCATTTCTTTGCACCATTTGTACTGACCAACAAAGTCAAAGAGAGGATTCAGAAACCTATCACTCACAGCTTATTTGATGCACACCAGAAACAAAGAAAGGGTTCAGACCTAAAGGATATAACAAGAGACCAACATGGATAGGGCACAGAGCAAACGGTATACATTCCACAAGAAGAGCACAGCTACCCAGAGAGTCTTCATGTGTTCCTTTGCAAAACATGAAAAAGCCCCTCTGCTAACCTTTGTACAGTATATTTACACACAAAAGTGGCTTTTCCCCATGGTATGCGCAAGAAATGATCCCTTCCCCTCCCCAAACCTATAAAGTTATTTCAAGCTATTTCCCCCTGAACCCGAGAACACTGATTCTAAGAAAAGTTTCTTGTTGGTAATATTTTTTTGAAGGAAGAGAGCTTCTATTTACACACATTGAACACATGAAAATACTCTATTTTTATACTACATTTCTGAGTTGAAAACTACAATACTGCAGCTTAGCTTGTTTGCAGCTTCAGGGCAGAACAGTGAGGAGACTACATGAGCGTGGGTGGCCCCACACCTATCAACAAGCTGATTTTAAACATAACAGTGGAGCACTACCAGCAGCATCTGCGTTTCAAGAAATCTGTCCTCTCCCAAATTGGATCACATGTCAGTTGCTTGGGAGGAGAAACAGGGAGCTGAAGGGCGATCTGCTACACATCCACTCCTTTTATGAGCGATCCTTCCAGGATAACGTTGAAATCCTGCAGAGTCTGCAGGACTCGGATGAGGGAGTTCACCGCCATGCGGTCGCGCAGCAGAGCATTTTCTTCATACATACGGGTGATGGCTGGACATTCTGCCAACAAAGGAATCCACTGCGGGAGCAAGTGATCTCTGCAAAAGGAAGGATATCATCAGTGAGCAGTGTAGACCCCAGAGACTCTAGCTCAGGCTTGTCCAACCTGCGGCCCAGGCTACCTATGAAAGAGACCCAACATGAAATCTATTCTGTCCAATTCTGGGCACCACAATAGAAGAGAGATGTTGACAAGCTGGAATGTGTCCAGAAGAGGGCGACTAAAATGATCAAGGGTCTGGAGAACAAGCCCTATGAGGAGCGGCTTAAAGAGCTGGGCATAATTAGCCTTAGGAAGAAAAAGAAAAAAGATCTTGGAGTCCTTGTGGACAACAAGTTAAACATGAGCCAGCAATATCATGTGGCGGCAAAAAAAGCCAATGGGATTTTGGCCTGCATCAATAGGAGCATAGTGTCTAGATCTAGGGAAGTAATGCTACCCTTATATTCAGCCTTGGTTAGACCACACCTGGAATATTGTGTCCAATTCTGAGCACCACAACTGAAGAGAGATATTGACAAGCTGGAATATGTCCTGAGGAGGATGACTAAAATGATAAAGGGTCTGGAGAACAAGCCCTATGAGGAGCGGCTTAAGGAGCTGGGCATGTTTAGCCTGGAGAAGAGAAGGCTGAGAGGAGACATGATAGCCATGTATAAATACATGAGAGGAAGTCACAGGGTGGAGGGAGTAAGCTTGTTTTCTGCTTCCCTGGAGACTAGGACGCGGAACAATGGCTTCAAACTACAAGAAAGGAGATTCCATGTGAACATGAGGAAGAACTTCCTGACTGTGAGAACTGTTCAGCAGTGGAACTCTCTGCCCTGGAGTGTGGCGGAGGCCCCTTCTTTGGAGGCTTTTAAGCAGAGGCTGGATGACCAACTGTCGGGGGTGCTTTGAATGCAATTTTCCTGCTTCTTGTCAGGGTGTTGGACTGGATGGCTCATGAGGTCCCTTCCAACTCAATGATTCTATTATTCATAAGCTTACTTAAAATATTGTGTTTTGTTATGTTTCATGGCACAATTGCATGGTTCTCGAGCACAGCTCTGTAGACGGCAACAGAATGTAATGAAATAATACCATATAAAATGGAAGTGCATGACAGAGAAGGGAAAGTGGCTGTAAGAAGGCTGATGGGAAGTAATGGTGGACACAAAAAGGCAGACAGGAAGGCAAGATGAAAGGTTGCCACTACATTCAACAATAAAACATTTTTTTGTATGCACACCTTCAAAACTGAGGTACGCATTACATTCAATAATGTATTATACTCAAGAAAATAGGAATATGTTATGTCTACAAATATCAGAGTATTATCTATAATTCACATTATAATAACAGACAGCTCATTCAGCCAGAAGACTTTTTAAAGACCCTCTGAACATAGCAGTGCAGATTCAGGATGATTATTAGAGGCCAGGCTTAGCACAACAAGCTAAATCACTAAGGTGCAGAAAATCCTGCCAATCGAAAGGTTGGCATTTCAAGTCCAGGCTGGGGTGAGCACCCGCTGTCAGCCCCAGCTCTCTGCCAACGTAGCAAATCGAAAACATAAATGTGAGTAGGTAATAAGGTACTGCTTTGATGTCCCAAATATTTGGATGACCAAAGTTTGAAAGCCAGCAGTAGCTCAGAATATTTTTAAAACAACAGCATTATTTTTTGGCATGGACCATCACACAAGAGCTACCTCACAAGCAAACGCATACATACCGGGTTCCAAGGCAAACTAGAATTTGAAATTTGCCATCTTTTCCTATGTTCCTTGGAGCAGTATTGATGGCATTTACGTAATGGCAGAATGTTTTGCAGGAGGACTTTTGGAGGAGTACGTCTTCTTCGCTGTCCCCAATCTGATCAGTAGTCTCAAAATATGCAACAGCCTTTTCTGAGAACAAAGAAAAGCAGAATACAAGGAACTCACTGAATGCAAAATGACAAGACTCTTTTGCCTTGTTTGTCTTGGGAAGGCCATATATAACTAAGGCTATAGAAATGCAGCAAATCAATCAAAACTTTGTGTAACTGACCAAGTAAATAAGCGAAAAACATTTTTGTGAATCCACTCCACAATGTTGTTATATTGAATAATTTCATTAACCAGTACATTTATAAAGATTAAGTAAATATTGTCAGAAATATTAAAAATTAACTAGGTATTTTTAATTACAAAAATGTGAGTCAAACACTGAAAGAGTTAAATAAATGAAATGACACAGCAAAAGTTCTATATAAGCAGGTCTGCCTGTAGCTTTGTAGCTCTCAGTCTGAGGTAAACCTCAGTGGGAGAAAGGTCTCAGTCCGTGAGAAGGCCTCACAGTGTGAGGTAGGCCTTAGTCTGTGAGAGCCCTCAGGTTGAGAAGGCCTCGTGTTTGAAGCTCCAGTGTGAAGGCTGAACTTTGTTTGCGTTATGTAATAATAATAATAATAATAATAATAATAATAATAATAATAATAATAATAGATTTATACCCCTCCACCATCTCTCCAAGGGGACTCGGGGTGGCTTACATGAGGCCACGCCCATCAATACAGTAAACATAATATAGCACAAAAACACAATTTTGATTTTGTAAATAGTGTAATTATATTATTTTACTTCAAAGAAAAGCCTCCTATGGAAGAGATAACATTGGACTGTGAGTTTTTGTTATTTTTATCACTTTGGGCTACTGATGCTGGGTCACGCTACTCCTGATAAGTTACTTTTGTTATTAAGCCCACTTGCCCAACCAATATGAAAGGCCAGCATTGTACAACATCCAAATATGATGGCAGCTTCCAAATTTTACTTATTTTTTGTTGTGTCAGGAGCAACCTGAGAAACTGCAAGTCGTTCCTGTTGTGAGAGAATTGGTCATCTGCAAGGACATTGCCCAGGGGACGCCCGGATGATTTGATGTTTTTATCATCCTTGTAGGAGGCTTCTCTCATGTCCCCGCATGAGGAGCTGGAGCTGATAGAGGGAGCTCATCCTCCTCTCCCCGGATTCGAACTTGTGACCTGTCGGTCTTCAGTCCTGCTGGCACAGAGCTTTAAACCACTGCGCCACCGGGGGCTCCAAGGAAGCTTCCAATGAAGGACAAAGGAGGAACCCATTAAAAACATGGCAGATATTTTGCATTTGAATCCTTTCCTGTACATGACTTTTTGGGGGAAATGAGATGCCATTTCTTCATCTCACAAACATTTTTTTCTTTAGTCCTGACATACAGCCAAAACATAATAGCCTGTTGCAAAATGTGTCAACCACTTCAGAAAATCTTCATCATCAATCATTCAGTCCAGAAGATAACAAAGCACTAAATAATAAAATCCCTACCTATAACAAATTTATTTATTTACAACATTTATATGCCAGCCTTCTCACCCCGAAGGGGACTTAGAGCGGCTTACAAGTAATATGTAAATGCAATATATTATATTACTACCATAGCACAATATAAGTATTATATATTACTATATTGTACTATACCATTATAGTGTAATATTATTAGTAATATTACATGTAATACAAAATATATAATTATAATATTGTATTATTATTAGTATTATATTGTATCACATTATAATATTATCAATATTATATGTACACACAATATATTATATTATATTGTATTATTAGCACAGTGCAGGAGACAAGGTACATGTTGGACGGCAAAATCACATGTTGGACCGCAATTCCCAACATTCACCAAAACCGGCCATATTGACTAAGGTTTCTGGAACCTGCTGTCCAAAAACATATTTAGGAATGCATGGTTTCCATTTCTGACCTACCAGGGCTATAATTATGTCAGGACTAAACAAAATGTAACTTTTTCTACACAAAGTTTAATCTGAAATCCATACTTAAGAAAAGCCTGCGCTAGGAAAAACACCCTGCTGCCATTATGCAGGTTGAACCTGTTTGCTCCGTTGCTTTTCTCGCCAGTAAACAAGGACTAAGGACTACATATTCATGTAAATTAATGTCATGCAAATACTTCTTAAGTGAAGAAAGCTTAAAGTAGCCATTTTGTAATTCTATACTGAGGGATTTGGTGACTGGCAGTTAGCCTGTTCTAGAACCATAGCTAATTTATGACCGTAAAGTGAATTCCTATCCCATTAGGACACAGCAACTGTGGATTCGGAGGTAATTACTGCCCTAAAGGCATCTCTGGCAGAAAAGTATTATGTTGCTTTTACACCAGTTAAGAACCAGTTTCAAATGACAAGCTTGTTCTAACAAAGGGAAAGTATGAACCTGTTGAGTAAAAACCCACCTTTGTTTACACAGAATGCTCTGATGATTTTCAGAGACATACACTTCTGACGGACTAAAGTACCGCATGTACTCGAGTATAAGCTGACCCGAATATAAGCTAACGCACCTAATTTTACCACCAAAAAATGGGAAAACGTATTGACTCGAGTATAAGTCGGGGGTGGGAAATGCAGGGTAAATTTCTGGTAAATTACTGGTAAATTACTGGTAAATTTCCAGAATAAAATTAGATACCAATAAAATTACATTAATTGAGGCATCTGCAGGTTAAATGTTTTTGAATATTTACAGAAAACTGTAATTTAAGATAAGGCTGTCCCACTCTGATTCAACCATTATTCTAACTTTCTTCAATGTATCCTTCCAATAATAATAAAGAGAGTAAAATCATAGATGTAATAAAAATAATAGAATAAAATAATGGAAATGTAATAATAACAGTAATAGTAGAGTAAAATAATAATTGTAGTAATAACAAGAGAGTAAAATAATAGATGGAATAATAATAATTAGGGAAAAATAATAAATGTAATAATAATAAATAGAGTAAAATAATAAACATAATAACAATAATAGAGTAAATTAATAGATATCATAATTAATTAGAGAAAAATAATAAATGTAACAATAGAGTAAATAACAGAAGCAAATGCGCTTATGTATCCTTCCAATAATCACAATAGTTTATTTTAACTATACATTTTGGGGGAAATGCTGTGTGTATATAAATAAGGGAAAGTGGGAAATACTGGTGCCAAGAGAGGAGGAGAGGAAGGTGCGCGCTGCACCGAGAGAAGAGGAAAGGAAGACACATGCTGTGCCAAGACAGGATGAGAGGAAGGTGTGTGCTGTGCGAGAGAGGAAGAGAGAAAGGAAAGCTGGGTTGCTGTGCGGAGAGGTAAGGGTCCTGGCAGGAAGGTGTGGGCCTGAAAGAAGCCCTTCTTACAACCCCACGCCATCCCATCAGGACCTTCACCTGAGTATATATAAGTCGAGGGGGGGGGGGGTGTTCAGTTTTAAATTTGTAATTGCTGTATTTATGAATTTAGCACCAAAATACTGCAATGTATTGAAACAGCTGTGGATCCCGGTAGGAGGCAGACCTACCGGGAATGCAGAAAAAGGTGAAGTTTTGCATACAGCGTTGGATAATACAGAATGTTGGATGAATGAAGGTTGGATAAGCGAGACCCTACTGTAATTGCATTTTATCTTATATGTATTTTTAACCTATTTTTTGTGTATGATGTTTTAAAAGGTTATTATTGTTAGCATTGAATTCTTGCTGTTAGCCGGTCTGAGTCCCTATACAGAGGTAGAGAAGATGGGGATACAAAACTTTGAAATAAATAATAATAAATAATTCTGATGTAGAAAATCTAAATACTGCTTTCCTTCCGTTAGCAAATTTGTTTGCTGTCTCAAATGGACCTACATTTGCTAATCCTAGAACTGGCCCAACCATTAAGTAGTTACTGTTTACCAATAGGTTAACAACCCATTTTGTCAGTATTTCATGAATTCCAAGCATAATAAACCATCAGACTACTTGGAAAAGTTCTTGTTTTGGACTATGGCTCCATGTCTCATCCCACCCCTGTCAATTTAGCTAAACTCTTCCCAAAAATCCCATCTGAACCAGGTTTCCGCATTACCTATGAAGTCCCAGATGAAAACGTTCTTATGGAAAATGCGAGCCGACTTGAAACCATGGTGGAAGACCTGCTCCAGTGCTACAACCAAGCCATTTTCTCCACACAAGAGAACGGTGAAGCTTCCTCTCTACAAAAGGAGAAACAATGAAAGTCTACATGAATTTCTGAATTTTATCCCAGGAGCAATGCTTGTCACTGGCACCTGTAAATAATACAAATAATATTTGTAAGAAGTAAGTGTCTGGCATTTACTGATGGGAGACCAGATGATGTGGCCTCAATTTCAGAGGAAGGAACTGGCAAAGCCACCTCTGAGTATTCCTTGCTTAAGAAAACCTTATGCAATTAATGCAACTTGAAGCTGCACACACATATGGAAATAGGAAATAATGATAGTGAGATCTAACCAACATGCCTTCATTTTTAAAAATTATTTGCTCCTCTGGTGGATAGCAACACATTTGAAATTTTTGCAGTGGGGACACAAATATACACACACACCATTTCAGGCCACTGCAGGGGAAAAAATCATTGACCTTAAACATTACTACAAATTTAGTATACTATACGTTTTTGTGGACTATAACCTGTTTCATTAGATGCATCACTGGTTATCCACAACTGAGAATATTGTCAGGTTGCAAACTGGAAGCACTATCTGCCCTGTTAATGATTTTGTAGAAGGAATTTTAGTAGCTGTTGCTTAGCATGCAATCTGGTAGCAGGTGATGCCTGCTGGAATCCCCTCTTCGATGGAACCATGAAAGAAAGAGCCGGCTCCAGTTTTCACTCTGGCAACCCTAACAGCTTCAGTAAAAGTTGTAAACAGTGAGGTGACAGAAAATGAAATGCAGAAAAAGGTGAAGTTTTGCATACAACAAGGCTCTGCCTGTTCCTTTTTGTACAGAGTCACAGCCTGAAAAAGTTACTGAGTTTTGATAAACAACAGTAAATGTCAAACTGACAGAGAAATTAGATAATAGAGTCCAAGGTTTGCCACAGTGACAGACCTGGCCAGAGACTGGAAATATCACAGAATTCCCATAGATCCCAACCAAAATGGCCAGTGGTCAAGCTGTTTGAGAAATTCTATGAGATATAGTGAAATTGGTAATTAAGAATATATAAAATAATTTCAATTATAATTACTGTGCCTCCAATAAAAACCACCTGTTACTAAACAACCAAGGGACAAATTTTGCTCACATTCCTTTTGTAAGTTTTGATAAGGCACCGTACCTCTTTCTCAGGTTTATGGAAATGCTTCACTATATTGTTCACGGCTTCCCCAATTCCTTCTTGGATCTGTCCAGCGTTGGGTTCTGCATTAAAACAAGGGAGGAAAGGAAGTGGAAGAGAATGAAATTCACCCACAAGACAGTGAAACAAGAAAGTAGGCTGAACTTTCTGATTTAGGTGGTTGCTATATCGTTTGCTTGGGTGCGGAACTATTGAACTCATTCAGTTTTTGGTTTTATCTATCAGAGCCTTCTTAGGTTTAAGTGTTAAATATCATTAGAAATCCATGTAATACACTAACAGCTTTCATATCTATCTATCTATCTATCTATCTATCTATCTATCTATCTATCTATCATAACAGGACACACACACACACAAAGTGTGCAAACTTGGCATTCTATTAAATGTCCTTTAACCAGTAGCTGGCCACTTGGAGTGCCTCTGGTGTGGCTATAAGAAGGTCCTCTATTGTGCATGTGGCAGGGCTCAGGCTGCATTGTAATAGGTGGTCTGTGGTTTGCTCTTTTCCACACTCGCATGTTGTGGACTCCACTTTGTAGCCCTGTTTCTTAAGGTTGGCTCTGCATTTCGTGGTGCCAGAGCGAAGTCTGTTCAGTGCCTTCCAAATAGCCCAGTTTTCTGTGTGCCCAGGAGGGAATCTCTCATTTGGTATCAGACATTGATTGAGATTCTGGGTTTTAGCCTTCCACTTTTGAACTCTCGCTTGCTGAGTTGTTCCAGCGAGTATGTAACAGAATTTGAAAAAAATCTGTTCCTTGTTTAAAAGTGTTATTTCTTGTTTAACTGTGTGGTACTTAGTTTGAAAGTAGCTGTTATACTCCAGAAGCTTTGTTTTTGTGGCTGCCACAAACTATGTTGAATTAGTTGAGACTCTATGAGATATTCATTTAAAAACTGTAACAAAATGTACTGCGCCACCGGGATTGTGGCGCAGCTGGCTGAGTGTCAGCTGCATTAAGATGACTCTGACCAAAAGGTCATGAGTTCGAAGCCAGCCCGGGCTGGAGTGGGTGTCCAGCTATTGTGTAGCCCGTTGTCGACCTTTGCAACCCGAAAGACAGTTGCATCTGTCAAGTAGGAAAATAAGGCACCACCTTGTGTGGGAGGCTAAATTTAACTAATTTATGAGGCCATAAAGAAAAAAGACTCCGGGGAATGTGGAATGCGGAAGAACTTCATCGGTGTCGCTGATGGACGATGAAAAGCAGCAGCTCCCCTGGCGGCCAGAAAAAAAAAAAAGTTAAATAGCCTTGGTGCATTTGTGTGTTAAACGTTGTTTGTCAAAACTGGCATTGAATGTTTGCCATATATGTGTTGACTGTAATCCGCCCTGAGTCCCCTGCGGGGTGAGAAGGGCGGAATATAAGAACTGTAAATAAATAAATACTGCAGAATGTCCTGCAAAAACAATGTTTTTGCAGTTTAATAACCTCTTTCCATGTTTTTTATGATAGAACCGATTAGGAAATGACATTTTTAACCCAGGAACACAAATCGTGTAATAGAGTATCAAATCAGAAGCAGAATTCTGGTCTAGATTAATCATTACTAGATACAGGAAGACACTTAGATTCTTGTTGTTATGCTCAAAATACTCGAATGTGGCTCTAAACTAGTAGGAAAGACCCACATTTAGGAAAATGCAAAATTTTGAGTTGATGCGGTTGCTATTTTTCTCAGATTTTTGGAAACACAGATGTATTAAATGTGGGACTGCACTTACAATACTGTATCCAGAGTTTATCTTGAAAGGTCTGTGTTTATCATTGGCAAAGAAAAACCATATTTTCCTCTTGATTTATGGTAATGTTTGCCTGCTGTGTTTGCGAAGAGGTCTTACTTGTGTTTTTCCCGGTGAGGGAAGTGATGCTCAGTCTCCGAACTGAGGTTGGGGATTTTTGCTGCGGAGGGGTTCGGCACTGCTTCCCAAGGTCATCATCTGATGATGTTGCAATCAGCTCTCCAATAAGAATCCTCTCCAGGCTTCCATCATCAACACCTTTCCCCAGCCACCTTCCACATGGAAACCTGAAATGTTACACAATGAAACAATTAGGCCCAATGTTCCTGTTTTTAAGAGCATACACCTTAAAGAAGCTAAGTCTTAGAGTGCAGAATACCTTCAATTGGCTCTTCCTCCTCACCATGAGCAGAAATAGGTGAAAATATATGCATGTAAAGTAAACAAATCTCATTTCCACGTTACAGAACTTTTTTTGGAAAGATGTCATTTTGGTACAAAATTTCATTCATATTGTGTGTGTGTGTGTCTGTGGAAGAAAAGCAATAACATGCAAACTACTCTTTCTGTAGAACTGTTAAAGCTGTCTAAAAATACTTGTGGTTTCCAACATCCAGGATTAAAATCCAGTTACAAAATATTTTGCTTAAATACATATCAGCAAACAAATACAACTATTTTAATACACAAGCAAATTACAAAATTAATCAAAAAATTTAACAAAAGTCACAATCTTCATCTATCTTAATATGACAATTTCCAAAGAGGATTTGGTTGACTTTTCATTACTTACTTATAGGTGTGGCCTGTGATTTCGTTCCTGACCATGACGCAATCCACCAGCCATTTGGCTAACAGTCCAGAGTTGTCATGACCTAGCTGAACAGTGGTCAGCTTTCCCAAGTTCTGACACTGTAAAAAAAAAAAGGGACAACTTTAAAATCAAATACTAATTATTTTCAGTGACCTATCTCTGATGTGGATCTTGGCTCATATTTTTAGCAGAGGCTCTTCTTTGTCAGCAGAGGTTAAATGAGAAACAGCTCACATCCTCACTGGCCTTCCCTTTGGTAGGTTACATGCCTTGAGGTGACAGTATAAATTTCCCCATTGCTTCAAAATAAATATATTTGTGGACTCTCATTAGGTTACTAAATATAACTGTTATGCTTTTGCCCCAAGGCAAATTATAAAAACATCATTTTAGGAATAATGCAGAGAAATTGGGATATCTTCTTCAACTTTGAATTGTTTTTAATATTAATGGTGTTTAATACTGTTTTAATATTTTCATATTGTCTATTTTAGGTTGTATTGTAATACTTTTAATTGTGAGCTGCTTTGAGTCTCTGTATGGAGAGAGAAGGTGGGATATAAATATATGAGTCCCCCTTCGGGTTTTGAGAAGGACGGGGTAGAAATGCTGGAAATAAATTAATTAATAAACATAATAAACATAATAATAACAACAACAAGCCAAAAAATTACGGAAAATGAACACGTCAGACTACTCTGGGACTTCTAAATTCAGATTGACAGAGTTTTGGAGCACAATACTCCTGACCTTATAATCATGGGGAGGAAAAAAACAAAAATGGATCTTCGATGTTGCAATCCCAGGTGACAGCAGAATTGACAAGAAGCAACTAGAAAAGCTTACACAATATGAGGATTTAAAGACAGAACTACAAAGACTCTGGCACAAGCCAGTAAAATGGTCCCAGTGGTGATCAGCACACTGGGTGCAATGCCTAAAGACCTTGGCCTGCACTTAAAAACAATCGGCACTGACAAAATTACCATCTGTCAGCTGCAAAAGGCCACCTTATTGGGATCTGCATGCATTATTCACCGATACATCATACAGTCCTAGACACTTGGGAAGTGTCCGACGTGTGATCACATACAAAAGCCAGCATAGTGGTCTTATTTGCTGTGTACTAATCTTGCTATGTATCAAATCACAACAACAACAACAACAACAGCCCGAGTTGCCTGCAGGCTGAGAGGGATGGTATATAAATATAGTAAATAAATAAATAATAAATAACAACAACAACTTAATGTCTGATGGAATTGGGGGGGGGGGGGCAGAGAGGGACAGAAGGAAAATAGAAATTAATCCTCAGTGACAGAAGGTGCTAAGTAGCCCCGTTTCCTTCTTTTACTTGGAGTTATAAAGCTTCCTGCTCACATTATTAAAACAATGTTAATTTTAAAAAATAATACCCAAGGTTTTAAAATGACCATTTCCTTTAAAAAAAAATTATTAAGAGTTTTGGCAGTGATACATAAAAAGGGAAAAAAAGAGAGAGAATAAAAATAAATAAATGACAATTTCCTGACAAGGGCACAGCAGCTGTGATTATTTTGAAATTGCAAGAACAAAACGGAAGGGTATCACACTCACCTCAAATGTCATTTCTAGAAGGTTTTTTGGAATCTGCATTATTCCAGTATCTCCCAGTTCTCCCGAAACACAAATCCATGGATTTGATGTGGTGATTGCATTGCTGAGCTTTTTGATGGGGATGATCACTGTCCTATATGGAATCACTGTAACAGGAAACAGTATGAATTATTGATTCAATAAGTTCTTCTAAGGAGGAAGGCAATCACTATTGAATGCGTCCCATGTAGAAACAATGCCAATGCTAAAAACTGTTAAATGTGTATACAAAATACAGGTCTTTTGAAAACACACAGAAAGGGAGAGAAAGTATTACATCTTTAGTCCCCAAAGGTGCTGTTTATCACTGTTTACATATCTCAGCTGCATTTGGACAATTAATGACATGTCCAGATTGGCTCCTTGTTGTAGCTTCATGCTGTCTTTGATTTTATACAAGACTTATTGTCACTTTTGTAAGATAGACCAAGTATTTAGAAAAGGGAAGCATGAAAAACAATAAGTCACACGGATGCTAATTCTTCCACGCAGAAGCACTATGAGTAGAGCATACTGATCATCGTGGTTTTCTACAGGGATGCATTCTGCAATACTCCATAGTCAAGCAGTAATGGAAGTAGCCACTAGATGTTGCTGTTACTACACAGTCAAAAATGAAGGTCAAACAAATTTAGAAACTGCGGAATCATGTCACTGCTATTTTTAGAAGGTAGGAAGGACATCAGAAGGCAAAACCTTTATCCTTCTGTTTCCACAACAGAGATGTAGACGACATATGCTGCCATTTTGGAACGTCTAACTCTCCTGACAAAACTGAATGAGTGTCTATCAATGGAACGGCTATTTCCAACCTATGACAATTCTAAAGTGAACCCAAATATTTTATCTATACGTTTTATTTTATTTTATAAGTAAGGGAAGGAAAAAGAATGGACAAGTTTTTGAAGCACCTTTTGTAGGTACCTGTTCCTATATGTCAGGCAAGGGCATGATTAAGGACTGGTAATCATGGACGATGAAATTGGACTACGATTCTAGTTAAGAGATGCATTGGATTGTATTGGTGGCCCAATACTATGTATTGTATGTTGTTCTTATGCTTTTTAAACTGAATATTGTTGATTGTTTGTAGAGCTGTAAACCGCGTTGAGTCGCCAATTTTGGCTGAGAAACGGCGGTATACAAGCGCAGTAATAAATAAATAAATAAATAAGGGCAAACTTCAGCCCTCCTGGTGTTTTGGACTTCAACTCCCACAACCGGCTGTTAGGAATTGTGGGAGTTGAAATCCAAAACACCAGGAGGGCTGAAGTTTGCCCATGCCTGACATACGTCCTTTAACAATGAAAACTTCCATCTACACAGCTGGACTTCCTTTTATATTTACCTAAGAGGCAAACCAATGACTCCAGAGTTTACATTCTGTATATTATTTGCATATATAGGTTGACCTCATATATCAGGGGCAGTGGCGCAGTGGGTGATCCGCCCTGAGTCACCTTCAGGGTGAGAAGGGTGGAACATAAATTAAAATTATTATTCTTATTATTCTTATTATTATCACAACAAGATGAGTCCACAGCAGACACTCTGCTGGCTGTTGAATTGGATCACACGTTGGACACTTCCCAAGTGTCTAGGACTGTGTGATGTATTGGCGAATAATGCGTGCAGATCCCAGTGAGGTGGCCTTCTGCAGCTGGGAGATGATAATTTTGTCAGCGCCGATTGTGTTTAAGTGCAGGTCAAGGTCTTTAGGCACTGCACCCAGTGTGCCGATCATCACTGGGACCACCTTTACTGGTTTGAGCCAGAGTCTTTGCAGTTCGATTTTTAAATCCTCATATCATGTTAGCTTTTCAAGTTGTTTCTCTGCAATCCCGCTGTCACCTGGGATTGCGACATCGACGATCCATACTTTGTTTTTTAACGCGATTGTGAGGTCAGGAGTATTATGCTCCAAAACTCTGTCTGTCTGAATCCGGAAGTCCCAGAGGAGTTTGGCGTGTTCATTCTCTGTAACTTTTTCCGGCTTGTGATCCCACCAGTTCTTTGCCGCAGGCAGATGGTATTTGTAGTACAAGTTCCAATGAATCATCTGAGCAATGGTGTTATGCCTCTGCTTGTAGTCTGTCTGCACAATCTTCTTGCAGCAGCTGAGGATGTGATCTATTGTTTCATCTGCTTCCTTGCAGAGTCTACACTTGGGATCTGTTGTCGATTATTATTATTATTATTATTATTATTATTATTATTATTGAGCCTCCCTTATCCTCCAATCCAAATCCACAAACCTTGACCTTTGAGGAAAGAGGTCTGTCTAGCCACATATCCAGCAACCACTGTTTTTTTTCCCCCTCAAGGAGCCTTTGCTCCACTGCTACTGGAGATTTGAAAAGGGAAAGAGAAGAGAGTAAAAGAAAAAGGTACCCATAAAAAGCAGATATCACATATGCTTCCACAGCTGTTAGTACACTTTCCACCCTTTTTGGAAAGAAACCTGGGAAGGAAGGGAAGCTCAAAGTAGTCATTTCTGTGTCATAAGACCTGCAGCAGGAATGGGGGGACTTTGGCCTTCCTTCAATGACCATTACCAAGACCAATGTAAGGGAACTACTGTCAAAAACATCTGGAGGGATAAATGATACTTTCCTGGCCTAGTATCCAGCAGCAGATTCAGCAATATGGCAGGGAGAGTGGGACATAAGAGCAACTCGTGCCCCAAGCAGGGTATGTGCTTGCCATTTCAAAGCATGCTCAAAAGTCTAAGTTGCTCAGCAGCAACTAAAGAGCTGTGCATTACAATCCAAAGTAGGATATTTAACTGATGTCTGCTGCTAAGCACGACAAGAGAGTTATGACAAGGGAAAATGCCCCAGCCATTAAAGAGATTAACATCCTGACAGGTCTGCTTTGTTGTTATCTGAAACATACATCAAGTTGCCATGAGAGCTTCAGCTAACAGGTGGATATGCGAAGTATTTTATATCAATATAATAAAATAGAAATGAATGTACACTCATGCTCCCTACAATGGCACACACCCTCTAATTCCCCCAAATAATGCTCTGAAGTGTTGATCTCAGGAGCCATGACTGCGGGCTTTGTTACAAGATCACAATCCACCTTTTATCACACAGCTGCTGAGCACGCTGGGATCGCTCTCTACTCACTGATGGTGGTGAAGACACTTGTGAAGCAGAAGTAATTCACAGCATTGAGGGAGAGCAGGTGATAGAGGAACTGCTCCCGCTCTTCCTCACACCGCAGGAAGGCATAACGTTTGTACAGTTTCCTGCAACGAACAAGAAAGATACAGTTATATCTCAGTTCAAAGACCTCTGATAGTGATGCTTTTTTCTACAAAACCCGTTTTGCATTGCCAAACTCACTTTCCTCCTTGTCCTCTGTCTAGTTTAATTTCTTTTAGCAGCATTAGCATTGGAAAGATGGTAGAGGTAGGCTGGAGAAGAACCAACTTTTGTTTGCAGCAGTTTATGTGTAGTAAATAATGTCAGTTCTCTGTTTTGGGTTATGTAGTAGATTTCCAAAATGTGTTTTTAAACCTGGACACAGCATATTATTTGAGAACACAGAAATGCTGGACCACTCTAACAATCGCCATGTCAGACTACACATGTGGACAATTTCAACAGAAAGGAGGAAACCATGAAAATGAACAAAATCTGGCTACCAGTATTAAAAAAACTCTAAAATTACAACAGCACAACAACACAGAGGAAACAAACAATGACATCTAATCACCCCTCAACAAAAGATTTCCCCAGGCACTGCCAGGCCATCAAATGCTAATCAAGGTGGTCAGTTGAAACATTCACACCTAGCTCCAACAGAAAAGAGTCCTTTGTCCCACCCTGGTCATTCCACAGATATATAAAACCTTTTTCCTAGTTCCAACAGACCTCATTACCTCTGACAATGCTTGCCATAGATGCAGATGAAACGTCAGGAGAAAATGCCTCTAGAACATGGCCATATAGCCCGAAAAAATCTACAACAACCCTGTGTTTTTAAAGCTGGAAGCATGTGTATGTAATAATGTCCAGCAGAGATAGTGTTAACGAACAACAGAGTTTTGTATGAATCCTAGAAAGTTATATGTGAATCAATTCCTGTTTCCTGGTGTGAGGCCAGATGCTTTCAATTCAATGTGAAGGAGGCATGTCTATTGCTTATGAAGAAGGCTATGTGTAGCCATTACTGATTCCTCTTTTGCCGGAGACAGACGCTGCAATGAACTCTGCTGTATATAGCCGTAAATAAAGCCAATTGTTTGATTACTTTATGGCTGTGTGCCGGGACAGTTTTATTGCCTCGCCAATTACCAACAAATAATACAATGAAGTATGAACTGGGAAAGAGCTAGACTGTGCTCTAGGCAGCATGTTACAAGAACACCTTATTAACTTAGTGCATTTATATGTCAAGTTTCATACGACCTCAAGTTAGCATGCATGATCTTCCTCTACATATTTATCCTGACAACTCACCTTGCAAAACAGATTAACGTGAGAAAAAAAATGACTGGTCCAATTTCTCAGGAATCTGAGCTTTGCTTTCTTTACTCCTATTTCAGCTCTCTTAACTACAACAAGACACTAACTCTCCAAAAGTATGCCAGAAAGTTAACTTAATAGCGTTGGCTTTGTAGGAGAGGGAAATACTGTCTTGATAATAAAAAGTAAAGCCAAGCACTTTGAAATACAAGAGGAAGTAAGTATTCTTGGCATATGAAGAGTGCTGCAGACCATTTCTGGAGCACAGAAACATCAGTCACAATTTGGATAAAACCCTCAGCAGCTGATCTGTCATGCAACAAGGGGTGAGATGAATGGCTGTCTTGGTTCTGCATCAAATCTCCTGGATGCTCCCTCCTTTGGTCATACGCCACATTCTTCTAAATGCCTTTTACTGTGCAGTTCTAAACCTGCTACTTTGAAAAGGGTTTTTGCATAACTGCTGCTCTGACATTTCATTAGAGTTTCTGCTCTTTCCAAGCTGTATGGCCATGTTCCGGAAGCATTCTCTCCTGACGGTGCACCTGCATCTATGGCAGGCATTCTCAGAAGTTGTGATGTCTGTTGGAAACTAGGAAAATTGGGTTTATAAATCTGTGGAATGCCCATTTTCCTATTTCCCATCAGACCTCACAACCTCTGAGGATTCCTGCCATGGATGCAGGCAAAACGTCAGGAGAGAATGCTTCTGGAACATGGCATACATCCCAAAAACACAAAACAAGTCAGTGATTCCAGCCATGAAAGCCTTCGACAACACTTTATGATATTTATTTATTTACTACATATCTGACACTTTGAAAAAGATGGGTGAACTTTCTGTTCACAATTTTATACACCAGTTTGTACAGTTTTAAAAGCATGAGCACTTTATATTCTATATAAGTAATAGGAATGTCATCAACTCATCTTTCTATGTTTTTTTCTGCCCTCAAGTTCCTCCCTACCTTTCAAGAGGCTTTTTGAAAACATAACAAAAAAGCCATAATGAAATCATGCAGTCCATTGTGCTTCTCAAAATGCCCACCCCCGGGTTTGTTATTTTGGGTTTGAATAGGAAATTCTTCTGGATTTGAGTTGTGAGGTTGCCATGAAGAGTTCAAACACCTCATAGAGCAGGCATGGGCAAACTTGGGCCCTCCAGGTGTTTTGGACTTCAACTCCCACAATTCCTAAGAGCATCAGGCCCCTTACTCGAAAGAAAAGGGCCTGGTGCTGTTGGGAATTGTGGGAGTTGAAGTCCAAAACACTTGGAGGGCCCAAGTTTGCCCATGCATGTCATAGAAGGACAGCAAAGATAGCATGGCGCTTACAGAACCATTTAATACGGGCAGATTTTTTTGCAAAATGGTTTGATGTAGAAGAATTTATTTTTAATTATTCGGAGTAATACAGAATCTGGACTGATGTGAAACTATGCAACTGAAAGCTGCAGAAAGTTTCTCAGTCCCTGGCTGCAACTAAAGAGCTGTGTACTACAATCCAAAGTAGGATTTACTCAGAAGCTACCTGCTACTCCCTATGGAACTGATTCATACAAATGAATTATTTGCACCAAATTGCTTCCTCAAAAGGAGGAACATCCCACCAACCCCAAAAGGATTACTCTTTGAGAACATACTTTGCCAAGGCTTGATTGGAAAGAAGCTGCTTGAGATGTTGGGACAGTAGTTTCTTTTCAAGGGATAGCCTTATCCAGGCTCGAGCCCGACCCACATCAGTCTTTATCTCACTCATGTTCTGGATGTGCCTGAAGGAAAACAGGTAACAACATCCACAACGTTTATTTTTAGCGGCACCCAAAGAGACAGTTTCTTCAACCATTCTTTGCAAGTCATGCATGTAGTTGAGGGAAAACTTAAATATTATTTATTTATTTATGGGGTCAGAAGTGAATTTAGAATATAATTATAATGTACAAAAAAACAACAAACAAAGTTAAAAACTTGTCATTATACGAAATTGTCTTTGATCAGAAGTTGGCCACTTTGAGTGCCTCTGATGTCGCTGTGAGAAGGTCCTCCATTGAGCATGTGACAGGTCTGTGGTTTACTCTTCTCCACACTCACATGTCGTGGACTCTAGTTGGTAGCTCCATCTCTTAAGGTTAGCTCTGCATCTTGTAGTATGAGAGCAGAGTCTGTTCAGTACCTTCCAAGTCTCCCAGTCTTCTGTGTGCCCATAGGGGAGTTTCTCATCTGGTATCAGCGAGTGATTAAAGTTCCAGGTTTTTAGCCTGCCACTTTTGGACTCTTGCTTGCTGAGGTGTTTCTGCAAGTATCTCTGCAGATCTTAGAAAACTGTATCTTGATTTAAGACGTTGACCTGCTGGCTGATATCGAACAGAGGATAGGCCTGAGATGTCAACGCCCTGGTCCTTTCATTACAGATACTTCCTGGCGGATATCAGGTGGTGCAATACCGGCTAAACAGTGTAATTTCTCCAGTGGTGTAGGGCATAGACATCCTGTGATAATGCATAATGTCTCATTAAGAGCCACATCCACTGTTTTAACATGGTGAGATGTATTCCACACTGGGCATGAATATTCAGCAGCAGAGTGGCAAAGTGCAAGGGCAGATGTCTTCACTGTGTCTGGCTGTGATCCGCAGGTTGTGCCAGTCAGTTTTTGTGTGGTATTATTTCTAGCACCCATAAAAATCTTACTGAATGCATAAGGTTTGAGTCCACATCCACCGCTTCTCAAATTACTTGAGCAAATCAAAGCCAATAGGAGAAAATTTGGAGCATAAGATAGTTGTGGCATAGCTCCTCTCCAAAGTCTAATTAAGATTGATGCAAAATAATTCCTAAAATAGGGGCAAGCTGTATACAAAAGTGAGAACTATCACTGCCCAACATACATTTTGGTGCCTCAAATGTGAGATATGTTTATGGGGATATTTGACCTGCTGATTGCAAAAATGGCATCGGCTTCCTCCATCAGCTCTAGTTTTTGAGATACAGAACACGTGTCATATAAGAGTCGTCATCTACTTGCCCATAGAAAGCCTTGATAACCATATCTAAGAAACTAGAGCTTGATGAGGCCTATACAATTCAGTTTTCTGAATCAGCATCCCAAATAACTCCAGGAACAGGCCAAAAAACCAAGACACCAAGATTTACTTATTTTTTGCCATGTTATCTGTGTTATGGTTTAGAAATTAAATAGTACAGCACAGAATGAAAAATCGTCCTCTTTAAGCCCTTTAATTTAAACGAAACTAAGCAATTAACCTGACAGAATGTGCTGAATTACTTATGTGAGTCACTAAATGCTGATGGCCATAGAAACAATGGGAGGTCCAGGAACTGACTGGTAAAGAAGAGGAAGCAATCTGCCCCCTTCCTTTTAGCTCTGTGAGCAATTGAGGCAACTGAACCATTAATAATCTGGCCCCGCTCCTCCCCATTCCAGGATTGCCTCAGCCCCATATAGAGAAACAACACTGAGCATGCAGCAACTCTAGCATAACCAGAATAATAGCAGCAGAGGGAGCAGGGATACATCACAACAAGCACAACCCCAAATGCTGCATTGTCTACTGCAATATTTTCAACAAAATCCCTGCCAGCATTTGCTCTGCAGACATTCTGGCCCTGCTAAGTTTCGCATAAAATGACACAAGTTTACTGTGGTTCTCTTAATGGCTTAAGAGAATTAAGGCCTACAGCAAGCTGTTGGAAACTTCATCAGGCTGTTTTAAAGTGGTGAGATAATCCCCTCCCATCCCAGAAGCTCCCTTTTGTCCTTTGTTCAGGGCTCCCTTCCTTGACCAAACGCCCAACATGGTCAACCGGATCATTCCAAAAAAAAAGACTGTTTCTGGCATCTGTTTTCCACAGAGCAGCTCTCCTCGTTTTTGGCTCAGGCTTTGATAGGCAGATCTTACGGCTTCCAGCATAATACAACTGGGCATGCGATCAGAAGTCCTTGAGAAATACGATGCGCAGCGCATTAGTCACTCACATCATGATGAAAAGCAAAAGCTGTAGCTATTTCAAGCCTCTCGATAGGGGACCATATCAAAGCAGATGCCTCCCACTCCCTTCTTTGATGGGGAGCTCCATTTAAAGTGCAAACACAACCAAGCGATATAAATCATTTTCCAACGGCAATGGGGAGTCGGGTGTCCATGGCTATTACCATCCTCCAGAAGTGGCTGGGTTTTTCCTACCCAGAGCAAAAGATAGGAAGCTTTGTTTCCATCTGTTCCTCTGTATGAAACAGAAATCTCAATGCAAGAAGCCAAGGAAGAAGATGAGACACAATTCTGACAGTATTATTATTTTTCAACTTTGTGATAGGCTGTGATTTGAGATGGACAAATGATCGACAGAGGGTTCTTAAATATGCTTTAACTTAGGAGTAGGAGCTCTGTGAGTCTTCAAATATTGTTGCAAAAGGAAATCCCAGTTAAGCAGCAGATTCAAAGATAAAGAATGATGGGTGTTGCAGTCTAACTACATCTGGAAAACCACAGGTGGAGGAGGATTGTACTAGGAACAGTGGTTTGCACTGGTCCGTAGGGGCTGGATGGACTCTCAAAATCGTCCCCCAAAACAAATATTGGAAGTGTCCAGAAGTTTACTTCTGGTGAAAAACGTATGCAAGAGGAGGGGTCAAATATATTTAGAAGGCTATTTGTTCTTTCTGGGAGTTTTCAAGACAGGAAACCCACCCTTTCTGTTGGCTAGAAAAGAAAACAATATAGCAGTCCAGGAAGTCATAGGGTGGAGGGAGCAAGCTTGTTTTCTGCTGCCCTAGAGATTAGGACGTGGAACAATGGCTTCAAACTACAAGAAAGTAGATTCCATCTGAACATGAGGAAGAACTTCCAGACTGTGAGAGCTGTTCAGCAGTGGAACTCTCTGCCGCAGAGTGTGGTGGAGGCTTCTTCTTTGAAGGCTTTTAAACAGAGGCTGGATGGCCATCTCTTGGGGGTGTTTTGAATGCAATTTTCCTGTTTTTTGCAGGGGGTTGGATGGATGGCCCACGAGGTCTCTTCGAACTCTATGATTCTAGGAAGTCTTCAAGAATGGTTTGCCCCTGCTATTGGGAATTAATCCTCTGGAAAACTGTTTAGCAACCAGAAACAGCCATGTCAGTATTTTAGTAGAAAGGCTTAATGTAACATGAAATACAAGTTGTTTGCAGTACTAAACAGGAGCAGCATTAAAGGGTTTTTTTTTTTTTTTTTTTTTTACAAAATTGTTCTGACGTTTACTATTGTCTCCCTCTGTGACTGAGAATATTTGAGCTATCCGGGGCTGAGCAAGGATTTGTATCTTTATTTTCTAAAGTTCCGGTCAAGCTCTCAAACTACTATTCCAAACACAATCTCTAAAGGAAATCCATATTAATGGATATAGTGACTATCCCAAATAAACCTTATGACCAAATGAGTCAGAAGTATTGTTACTACATTGGTCACATATCAACCTACCCAACCCTTGGATTTGTAAGAGAAGAATCTCATCCCTGTCCTATTCCTCCATCATACAATATTGATGGAGGAATACGACATGGATGGGATTATTGGACAAGAAAGGCAAATATATATTTCAAAATAAGGCCACAAAATGTAAAAAAAAAAAAATCACTTTTAGGCAGACGTCTTTGACAAAGAAGGCAATATATTTTTCTTTCATTTTTTCTGGTGCCAAAACACCAACTTTCAAGACAAACTTTTCTGAACTGAGTGCTGTACCTCATATCGCTGATGACTGAGACTCTCAGAATAGGTAACATCAGCCCAGTGTCAGACTTCCTTCTTTCTGGTCCAGAAGCAACTGTAGAAAAGGGAGTGTGGGGAAGAGTTATAAAAGCAGCAAAAATAATCCTAAGAATCTCTACTAGAAGGATGCAATGGAAATAATTTTCTACTTTTCTCCTGCTTCAACACTATGGCAGCTTACCGGTCACCTCCTCATTCCAGTTAAACTGGAACAAGACTCTGATGATCTTTAAAGAATAATCAAACAATGCCTTCTTTACAGCTATTAAATCTACCTATCCCTTTCCCATAAGGATTTCTGCACATGAGAAAAATCTTAATGTGAATGGATGAAATGGTTTCAGAAGAATTGTCATCATGTTATACCCAATATGCTGTAATCTGATTTCTTCTTTGTTGGAGCATGCAAGGAATCAGTGGATGTGTGTGTGTCAACTGTAAAATAAGATGCATGAAGCTGATTGGCAGGGTTACTATGCCTGGGGAGATGGCTGAGTCTGGGACTTTTGGATACTGTTACATTTTTGTTCAGGCTTGATCTATGCAGATGTTCAGAGAGAAGCAGAGAGGGACAGAGTTTGGAATATGCACTTAATTCATGAGCTACTGAAGGAATTTATCCACATGAACAAAGAAAGATAATTTTAAATCTCTCATAACTGATCACATTGTGCATATGTTGTTCTGAATTAAAAAGAGTAAACTACTTGTTCTTTACTGTTCACCTGCATGGCATATTTTCTTTCTCTGGCAAGGCAGTGTGTGGGCCGATCAAATGTGAACTGCACATGGTTTATTTTATATTCTTTCTTTCTCTCAAATTTTCCACAACACTGAAAATACATATTTTAGCATTAAAACTTTTACCCATAGGGGATCACAGAATAAAATACATGTTTTCAGGGCTCTCTCTATACACTTGCAATATTGATTGTTTCTAATTGTTTAGAAGTATCAGTAATACTTATACCCAAAGTAAAGTTTTGCCCCACTATCATTGTATTTATTTAGAATGCAGGACTGGAAATTGAGAAAGAACCCTATTTTAAACTGATGGAAGTCCATTTCTATAGTTAGTATCCAAACAACATCAAGAGTTTAGCTGAAAATATCTGCTTTCTGACAAAGTAAAAGACAGTATTATCAAGGGAAAAAAAAGTCTATACCTGTAATTCTATACACAAAACCAGTAAAGTCTTGCAGCATTTCAAAGATTATGAAATCCTTTCATGAATTTCTCCAAGTGGAACATAATATTTATTTATTTATTTATTTACTTCACTTATATACCGCAATTCTCAGCCCTTTAGGAAACTTCTCTTTTGGGAATGCACCTGAGGCAAATCAATGGCAGATAAGTTTTGAATAAACATGTGCAAGATTGCACTTTTAATCCGTTTAATGCTTAGACAATTTCAGGTTTTTAAATGACAATAAATAATAAGGAAATAGAGTAACCCTGCTGTAAACACTACTGCTGCAAACAGCCGTTTGACTCACCTGGGGATTCTGCCAGTTGCTCTTGTTTCTCTTCTCTTTCCTGGTACTGAATTAAATGGGACCACAGTGCAGATTTTCCCTTTAAAAACAAACAAATTATTTCAATGGAGCAAAACACTTGATCTCCATTGATCAAAAGACAAATTTCAATATTACAACCAGCCAGTTATGCTAAGTCGGGCTAGGTGACAAGAGAACGGCTTCCCCCAGGTTGTATAACAAATGTCCAAGATGGGCAAAGGATTTGAATAAGGGGGTCTCCAAAACATCCTCAATATAGTTGTAGCTATGAGTAAACTAACAGAAGTAAATATGTAGAAATTATTCAGACCACATTCCACTTTGCCCCAAGGGGAGCTATAAAGGCCAAGGAGTCCTGCATGTCTTAACTCTGGGATCAGGACTACATCATGTCCTTCTACTAAGCCAGTGGTTCTCAACCTGTGGGTCACCAGGTGTTTTGGCCAACAACTTCCAGAAATCCCAGCCAGAAATCCCAACCCCGGTGGCGCAGTGGGTTAAACCCCTGTGCCGGCAGGACTGAAGACCGACAGGTCGCAGGTTCGAATCCGGGGAGAGGTGGATGAGCTCCAGCTCCTCATACAGCTCCAGCTCCTCATACGGGGACATGAGAGAAGCCTCCCACAAGGATGATAAAATCATCAATTCATCCGGGCGTCCCCTGGGCAACGTCCTTGCAGATGGCTAATTCTCTCACACCAGAAGCAACTTGCAGTTTCTCACGTTGCTCCTGACACGACCAAAAAAAAAAAAAAGCCAGTTTACCAGCTGTTAGGATTTCTGGGAGTTGAAGGCCAAAACATCTGGGGACCCAAAGGTTCAGAACCACTGTACTAAACTGTAATGCTTTGGACTGAGTGGTAGCACTTGAACAAATGGAACTTATCATTCTAGTTCGAAAGGCCAAGTTTTCACCACATCTCATAATATACTCCAGTCTCGCTTAAGTCCATGCTACAATGGTCCAAAGATTCTTGCTTAACCATGATGTATCTCCTTCAGGGAACACTTCCATGTGTCAAGAAGCCCAGGTCCACATCAACGAAGAGGAAATATAGCCCAGTGACAAAGAATATGCTTTACGTATAAAACAGGACCCAAGTTCAAGTCTCAATATCTCTAATTAAAAGGCTATCAGGTAACAGATGTTGGGAAAGACATCTGCATCAGACCTTGGTGAAGAAATAACACATTTGAATCCCATGACAGACTAAAAAGTAAATTCATGTTTTCCATTAACTTGCTGTGGATATACAGGAAAACTAATATATACACAGAGAACATAAATCTGATTATTCAAAATCACAGAATTAAGTCCTTTGTCAACATGACCTAAACCAAGGTGCTGATTCATGAGAGGACTACTTTACGCGGACCTGTGCATATTGTTTAATAATAAACCATTTACACATAACTGACCTGCAAACATTGCAATCAGTTGTGTATACTATAAATATATGGACTTCTTGATTTCATAGAAAACTATCAGTTTTTCCAACCACTCCCCATTCAAACCTTCATAGATGAATGCATGGTCTAGCTTTCTTCAGATAAAACAAGTCTTGGGGAACCTTATTTTACCGAAGAAGCCTGGGGAATCTAGATTGAACTATTATTACCATATATATTTTTAGAGGATGGGAAGGGTAACAGTAAGATCTGTGGACGGATATCAGGTCTGCTAATGGAAAATATGAATAGGGGATAACAAGGTAGAGTACCTATTCACATGAGTTTTTTCTATCCTATCTGGAATGCCCAGTAAGGTCAATGGCCAGGAATGATGGGAGATGAAGGTCTTCTAAAGTGAACCACATTGCCTGCCTGTTAATGGGCCAATGAGTAAAAATATATGAATCGATTACTATGTTCCTAGATAAGGATAATTCTAATCAAGATTTATTTATTTGTCGTGTCAGGGCAACCAGTCAATTGTATTACATTTGTAACAGAACAAAACAAACAGACAGACAGACAAAATACAAAATTTGCGAGTTTGGTAGTTGATTAAATGTCCTTTGCCCAGTAGCTGGCCACTTGGAGTGCCTCTGGTGTTGCTGCAAGAAGGTCCTCCACTGTGCATGTGGCAGGGCTCAGGTTGCATTGCAGCAGGTGGTCAGTGGTTTGCTCTTCTCCACACTCGCATGTCGTGGATTCCACTTTGTAGCCCCATTTCTTTAGGTTGGCTCTGAATCTCGTGGTGCCAGAGCGCAGTCTGTTCAGCGTCTTCCAAGTCGCCCAGTCTTCTGTGTGCCCAGAGGGGAGTCTCTCATTTGGTATCAGCCATTGGTTGAGGTTCTGGGTTTGAGCCTGCCACTTTTGGACTCTCGCTTGCTGAGGTGTTCCAGCGAGTGTCTCTGTAGATTTTAGAAAACTATTTCTAGATTCTAATCAAGATGAGGATCAATCTAATCAAAAATGGAAGAAAGAAAAACAATAAAATGAAATAATACAGAAGTTATAGAGTCCTTCAAGTTACTGACCTGTTTGACTTGTAGGCCATGGCTCCAAATTCTTTCCAGCAGGTCACAAAGGCTAGCAATGAGTGTATTTTCTTCCAGTCCTGTTATATTGGCTTCACCATGTCCCAGTTCCACTGCTTCATGGCCCATCTTCTCTACCAGCATACGTTTCGTCTGCAAAGAAGCATTTTAAAATTAAGTTTCAGCAATTTACAAGTACTGCTGGCCAAATGTCCAGCCATAGTAAATGAGCAAAAATATTGTTATGTATGTGATGTACAACATATCACATCACATTGTACAATATATCAAGGTAAGTAGGTTATGTTATTCATAAGGTCAAGTGCAGAAGTGTTTGTGGTGGCAGTGAGTGTACAACGGTGGTCCACTTTGCCACGTATTGAGCGGGGGGACAAGTAGAGGTTTCCCCACATCTAATAACGTTTGTAAGCATTGCTGGTATACTGTACTCACAAGGTCAGGCTAAATACTGAAGGATTATGGTGGTAAGAAATACTCTGATCACAAGTGCCTTCTGTTTTTTCAGCAAATCATGTTTTACTTAAGACTCACCTTCATTCGACATTCTTTGAGTAAACCCTCCACAAATTTCCAGTTTGTCTGAGCAATTACAGCGGGAGAAAGATCAGAGAGTTTGGGCTGCCTCAGATTTTTCCCCAAAGTCCTTGCTTCTTGCATGTACTTCTAAATCCAGGAAGAAAAGAAAAGTAGGATGAGTACAAAAAAGCAAAGACTTCTGACCTCTTTAATCTTATGTAACCGGCACTCACATTGCACTAAAAGGTACGTGCCATTGTGGTTTAGCTCAAAAATTTAAAAGCAGGAGGCAAGAGGGCAGAGAATACCCATGCAGGATTTATTGCTTTGAGGGAAGACATTTGCTACAATAATGCATGCTCTCCGGGGAGTTTTTTTGTAGTGAGCTTTTAATGGTATTTCAACAGACGCGAGCCCTTAGAGATGCACAGGGAGATTGCTTCAGGAAAATGCATATGTTTGTACGCCAAATATATATACATTATACCGAGCCTCAAGAGAACAAGTTTAGCATTTTGGCACATCTTGGAACTAACGGGCAACACAACATGGACAAAGGTTGCATGGAAATGGGTAAATGTATATCCCGAACCTACTTCTCTATTATTTTTTAATGAGTAGACTTGCTGTTTATTCCATCCATCCTTCCATTCTTCTTTTGGCTCCCTTCCAAAAGAATTCTTAATTAATTACACTGTGGCTCCTATCAACGATGCAGCCTTTCCCTACTATATTAACTCCTTACCATAAAAGGCTAATAATATAAAGAAATAAAACTCAATTAATCCAATAGATAAAACACATGATGAAACTGGATAATAGTGGATTAAACCACAATTCAGTCATGCACTGCCCTTAATTTCTCTCCTCCTCAGCAAAACAGGTGTAACACCAACTGAGCTCCTTTAAATGCTGTCCCAGCTACACTGCCAGCTTCTGCACTGTTCTTGTAATGACAATAGAGTCTATCTTTTATCTTTTAATTAGTTTTAATCAGTTTGTCTTTTAATCATTACATGTAGCCCGCCCATTGTTATTGTGCCTGTGTCTATTGTAATTTTTACATTGCTATGTATCCATATGTTTTATGTAATTATGATGTTATTGTTTATTGTTCGCATTTTCGGTTGTGTCTTGGTTTTTCTTTATTGTAATTGTTGTTTTTGGCTTGGCCTCATGTAAGCCGCTCCGAGTCCCCATCGGGGAGATGGGTTTTGTTTTGTTTTGTTTTTGTCGTGTCAGGAGCATCCTGTTGTGAGAGAATTGGCCGTCTGCAAGGACGTTGCCCAGGGGACACCCGGATGATTTTGATGTTTTATCATCCTTGTGGGAGGCTTCTCTCATGTCCCCGCATGAGGAGCTAGAGCTGATAGAGGGAGCTCATCCACCTCTCCCCGGATTCGAACCTGCGACCTGTCGGTCTTCAGTCCTGCTGGCACAGGGCTTCAACCCACTGCGCCACCGGGGGGGAGATGGTGGCGGGGTATAAATAAAGATTATTATTATGATAATAATAATCTTTATTTATACCCCGCCACCATCTCCCCCCCGGTGGCGCAGTTGTAATTATTATTATTATTATGATAATCATCATCATCATCATCATCATCATCATCATCATCGTCGTCGACATGGGCAAATTTCAGCCTACCAGGTGTTTTGGACTTCAACTCCCACAATCCCTAACAGCCAATAAGCTGTTGGGAATTGTGGGAGTTGGGAGTCCAAAACACCTAAACGGCCAAAGCTAGTCCTTACCTGGTCTAGCAACATTAGTTTGCTAAACTGTGAAATGCACTAGCAGACTGATGTAACTGAAAAGTAATGCCTGCACATTTTGCCTCACTTCTCACATTCTTTTAAAGGATCCTGAGAATAAAAACTTGATTGGCTTGGTCTATGTGCAAAAGTTCCCTAATCTTCTCCTTTCCCCCAGATCTACTTTTAATATATATGTGTTATTGTGACAATTTTTATGCTTATATTGTTTTGTTAATCTTATGTTTCTGTTCTTTACTCTGTATGTATTGATGATGTTACTTGGAAACTGCTCCGAGTCCCCTCGGGGAGATAGAGCGGTATATAAATAAAGTTGTGTTGTTGTCATTGGTATTAACTTTGAATCTATCCTAGGGATTTAAGCAATCCAGAATGGGAATATATTTTGTAGAAAGCTTATTTTAAACCATCTTGAAAATTGCTCTTCTTCCAAGCTACTACTTCTTCATTGAAGGTAGAGAAAGAAAATCACAAGCACAAAATTGAAAGACGTGATCAATAATTGTATCTAGATTGGACATCAGTTAAAAACCTGATACTATTTAATGAGCAATGATGATATTCATTGGGTTGTTGTAGGTTTTTTCGGGCTATATGGCCATGCTCTAGAGGAGTGGTTCTCAACCTGGAGTCCCCAGATGTTTTTGGCCTTCAACTCCCAGAAATCCTAACAGCTGGTACACTGGCTGGGATTTCTGGGAGTTATAGGCCAAAAACCTCTGGGGACCCCAGGTTGAGAACCACTGCTCTAGAGGCATTCTCTCCTGACGTTTCACCTGCATCTATGGCAAGCATCCTCAGAGGTTGCTTGCCACAGATGCAGGCGAAATGTCAGGAGAGAATGCCTCTAGAACATGGCCATATAGCCCGAAAAAACCTACAACAACCCAGTGATTCCGGCCATGAAAGCCTTCAACAATACATGATATTCATTATTTTCTGAGAATCCTTTAAACAGAATTTCAGTCGCATTTCCAAGGTATCTCATTATGTACATATATACAAATCCATACATTCCAAGATCTGAAACACTGTTCCTAGTCATTTTGAAAAAGGGATAATCAACTGTACCTTCTCCCAAAGGAGGAGATTTGTCCAGTTTTCCAGATGTTGTGGAATTGCAATGTTTACTTACCGCGTTTTCATTAATTCAACAGATCTACCCTTAGTGGTGACTATTAAGTGGATGTGGGTCAATAACTAAAGCTTACATGTTACTTTAAAAAAAACATCCCAGGCCCTGAAACAATTTGCATTTTCTCTGACAAATTAAAGCAAGTGATTGTCTAAGTCCCAAACAGTGAAAGACCTAACAAAACATCAGTGAAGAGAAAGCTAAAGATGTAAAAACTAATGAAAGAAAGGGACGAGGAAGAGGATGGGTGGCAATAATTCAAAGTGTGGTTCTAATCAGACAATTGAAAGAAAAGATCTTACTCTACTTGCCTTTGCAAATCGCTTTAAGGAGAATGAAAAAAGGCAAATGGGATTTAGAGATATATATTGGAATAGGTCAGTCTTTCCAACACAACTTTTGGCACTTCAATAGGGTTGCAGAAGACAAAAGAATCTGAATGTCTCTTTCGGGTTTCATATTGCAAAGCTGATCAAAAGGCATGTGTCACTGTAGAAGTCACCCAAAGCTTGGAAAATGTCCCATTTTAGATGACACTTCCCAGAACTGACCATTCAGCATAGTTACTGGCCAGAGGATTGTGGGAGTTGTAGTGAAAAATGTTAATTCCACCCCTCCCCACACAAACACTTAGCTCTTGAAAAAGTTGCATGATGAGAGCCACACTTCAAACTACCATAGAGATGTGCATAAAATTCTACCTCTAAAAAAAAGCAGTGGTTTGCGTGATGAAGACGATAGGCAGCTCTTGGCAAAATTAAAGAAGACATACCAGGCAACATTCAGAGAATGATTTTTTAGGTGGCCGTGCAGGAGGGGGCGGGCCCTGGTCCCACTCCCAGAAAGCCATTGAGTTCTGACGAATCAAGAACTCCTCCGATGGCTAAGACACAACCAATGGCAGAGACAGTAGATGGAGAAAAAGAAGAAGGCGGTATGTGCATGCATAAAGGGTAAAAGCAAAAACAGAAAGGGAAAAAAGAATAAATTCAGCACCAATACGAACAAATTAAAAAACACAAGAGTGTAATATTGAACAATACAAGGTAAGGCTCCAACCCCTCATATTTAATAGTAATATATGCTTCCAAATACTACTTTTCACATACTTTCAAGAACGGAATGATGATGATGGATCTACAATTAATCAACTGGATTTTTAGCGAAGTAGATATTCATATATGACAGAAACAGAATAAATAATGATATAGATGTATACATAATTTATAGGTCATTTGCTCTAATAGCCCACTGGACATATTGTTATACATTTAAAAGGTAACAAATGCCATACGTTATCAAAGCTATACAGACAAATGCAGGACTTATCCCACCCTTCTCCAAACTGCAGGCTGCAATGGGTGCTAAGTTCAGTACAGGCAACACAGCGTGAAAAATGTTCTGCTTCGGAAAAATGAGCAAGAAAACAAAAAAAAGCAAAGTAACTTTAACAGCTATGAAAAAGCATAGTAATTTGTTTCTGTCTTTAAAGGAGAGGTAATGAAAAGGAGCGGAAAATAATAAAGGTAATGAAAAGGAGCGGAAAATAATAAAGGCAAGATGAAATCTAACAACAACTCATGCAGAAATTTCCAAGTTTCAGTTTTCAGTGATGACAGTACCTAGAAAAGCATTTTCCTCGTTGTAAAGGCTAAATAGCATATCTTTCTCTGTACCACCACCTAGAATAGGATCATTCCTAAACATTTTGTTGCTGTAAAATGAGTAGCCATTATCTCACTTCTGCCAATTTCAGCGTACCCTAAACCACTCAAGTCTTATCATCTCCTGAGACAGAAATGTCTTAAACCTGTTTTCCCTCTTTCCAGCACATGTTATGTGTCATCAAAGGCTTTCATGAGTTGCTGTGAGTTGTCAGGCTGTATGGCCATGTTCCAGAAGCATTCTCTCCTGATTTTTGCCCACATCTATGGCAGGCATCCTCAGAGATTGTGAGGTCAGTTGGAAACTAGGCAAGTGAGGTTTATATATCTCTAAAGTGTCCAGGGTGGGAGAAAGAACTCTTGTCTACTTGAGGCAAGTGTGAATGTTGCAATTGACCACCTTGATTAGCATTTGATAACCTTGTAGATTCAAAGCATATCTAACTGCTGCCTGGGAATCCTTTTTTGGGAGGTGTTAGCTAGCCCTGATTGATTCTTGTTTGGAATTCCCCTGTTTTTTTAGTGTTGCTTTTTATTTATTGATTTTAGAGGTTTTTAATACTGGTAGCCAGATTTTGTTCATGATAAACAGCCATGATAAATTAAGCTGCCCTTTTGCAACCTCTGCTACCTGAAGCAGATGATAGGCATGACCCTGCCATAAAACTGAGTTGAAAAATAAAGACAAGGTTCCCTTACTTTTCTGGGCACTTTAATTTCCAGGAGAGAGATATTTGCAAATCAGAAGTACTTGTATATGCTAGAACTTTGATTTGGAGCTCTAAGGGCAGAACAAAATACTGTAAATAACAGTGGACTATAAACCTTTTGCCATTAATATGTAGGGAAATGTACTCTTTATCTCCATGCTATCATGTTTTAGGTTTCCCTGGCACCAACAGACAATGATGGCAAGTGAGTAGGAAACAATATCATAGCTATTATATGTTTGGGAGGGAAATGTAATTTGGAACCTATTTTCAGTACTAGTCCCTTACTGACTATAACTTTCTTTCACTCGTAGCATGCTGAGTCAAAGGTGCACAACTCTTTTATTGTCAAATATAACTTCCACAGACAATTTAAGTGTGCACCCCAGGGGTTTCTCTTATGCTTCTCAAAAAGACCAATGCCTATGTTTCCGTGGAAGTAAACACTGCATGCCAAGGACAGCATCCCCTTGGAAAGTAATGGAAGGAAGTAAAACAATAGTTGTCTTCCTAAGAAAACAAAATTCTGGGGATTAATTCTCGGAAGGAGTTCACTTGTTACATCTCTTGGTCACAGGAGATTTTTGTTCATTCACTTAATAAGGGTGTCACTTAAAAAAAAAGAGTCAGAAAAATGATATTTTAGGTTGGAAATTGCAACCTTCCAAGCCTCCACTAACTGTTAATGTATACAATTGCTAACCTGTATTCTATGTGTGTGTTGATTTTCCAGTTTTGCTTCCCTCTTTGATGTAGGAGGAGTTATACATGTGCAAACTCAGGACTCTTATTTTGTTTTTAGTATGCTTTTGAACTTCACTGAAGGTGGATGTCTGCTTATGGACTTTAATGAGATAAGCTTGGTATTAGACCTCTTTGGATGTGTATGCTCATGGGCTTGAGTGAGTACAGATATGCTTAAAGACACTGAAAAGACGATGTGCCTGTATACTGAATATATACAAGTTTGTTAGTAAACAAGATATGTTATTTTTCAAAGACTACCTTGTCTTGTCTCTTGAGTGCGTGTTTTAAGGGAGTGTATATCTTTTTGGGTAACAGCAGTTACTACTGCAAATTCTACTTCAACCAACCATCCTCTGATGGTTCTCCATCATCAACTCCGCTGAACCAGCCACGTTGTCCAAATGCCCAATCACCATCTCCCAAAGCAGTTACTCTACTCTGAACGTAAGAACGGAAAACGTAATGTTGGTGGACAGGAAAAGAGATTTAATGATGGGCTCAAAGCCAACCTTAAAAACTGTGGCATAGACACCGAGAACTGGGGAGCCCTGGCCCTTGTGCACTCCAGCTGGAGGTCAGCTGTGACTAGCAGTGCTGTAGAATTTGAAGAGGCACGAATGGAGGGCGAAAGAGAGAAATATGCCAAGAGGAAGGCACGTCAAGTCAACCCTGACCAGGACCACCTGGAAACCAATGTCCTCACTGCAGGAGAATATGTGAGTCAAAAATAGAGCTCTACAATCACCTACAGGGCACCGCAACTGGAGGACAATCTTACTTAGACAACAAGGGATCACCTAAGTAATATTTTTGTAGTGGCTTGTTTTTATCCTTTGCCATTTAAAGACATGGTTCCTCAGTTTAACAGCTGAGCTACCTGCATGCTATTACATTGACGTTTTATGAATATCACTAGTCTTAAGGATTGACTTCTAACAAGGTCATGCCATTCTTGACTTGTGGTTTTCAGGTGGTCTCTATGTTCATGGAGATTTTGCCAAACGGAGGTGGCATCATTTTTAGCTTTGCAATAAAATTATGGTGCACTGGAATTTCCAGTAGATTATGGACTTTCCAATATTTTAGACATCCTCACTCTCCACTGATTCACATGTCCAGTGTGCTGGATTTCAAAGCAAATGCTCAGCTCTGGTTTTAAATAAATGAGAAGCACAATCACCATGCCGATACTTCTTTTCAAAAGACTTTTGTTAAATTGAATTAACAGGGAGCTCTTATGGGTTTTCTACAATCTCTTCAAACTTTTAAGAATCTGCAGAAACTGTATCTGGTCCATGACTCAGATCCAGGATACTATAGAGACCTAAATTCAGAATCCTTTGTCCTCAGAAGATAAATTGGAGCTCTCCTTGCATTTTACTATGTGGCAGAGACCTTTCTGTTTAGTCGGTCTTTTGAAATTTCAGTTGTGCTTTGTTTGAGCTATATTTTTATTTATTTTGTAATGTCACTGTATTTTATTATTTACTTTTAACTGTTATTATCTACTCCGAATAGTGTGTAAACACTTAAAAACGAGGATATAGTCCACAAACAAATATAAATAAACTTCTTCTTAAGACACATTCCTGCCATTTCCTTTTTGCAAAAGCCCTTCTCTATGTTTTCTTTTCCCTGAAAGCATTCTTCTACAGACTGGGAGAACAAGCTAGTGAACCAGAGAAACACTTCAAAAGTTTTGAAATTCCACCCCTTTGAGAGCAATTATTATTGTCCTATGAGAACAAGCCCAAATGGGGGCCAGCCAGGCAACACTTCAGGCTAGAAAAAGAGAGCTGCTCTTCCACATAATTTGAAGCAGTTTGAAAGGGGAATGTGTGTCATATCATGCTTACTCCTTTGGTAAATATACCGCGTTGAGTCGCCTACGGGCTGAGAAACTACGGTATACAAATAAAGTAAATAAATAAAATAAGTTTCATATATATTTTTTTTAACATTATTATCTGCATTGGCAATGGGTCGGTGGTGGGAGGTGAATGCAAGTGCTTCTGAGGTCCTTTTCCTCACTGATAGGGGAGCCACAACCCTGAGGGTCGGGACCCCTGGGGGGGGGTTGCGAGGGAATGTCAGAGGGGTCACCATGGGGGTTCTGTGTGGGAAGTTTGGCCCAATTCTATCATTGGTGGGGTTCAGAATGCTCTTCGATTGTAGGTAAACTATAAATCCCTGCAACAACAACTCCTAAATGTCAAGGTCTATTTTCCTCAAACTCCACCAGTGTTTAATTTGGACATATTGAGTATTCGTACCAAGTTTGATCAAGATCCATCAGAGTCCACAGTGCTCTCTGGATGTAGGTGAACTACAACCCAAAACTCAAGGTCAATGCCCACCAAACCCTTCCAGTATTGTATGTTGGTCATGGGAGTTTTGTGTGCCAAGTTTGGTTCAATTCTATCATTGGTGGAGTTCAGAATGCTCTTTGATTGTAGGTGAACTATAAATCCCAACAACTACTACTTCCAAATGACAAAATCAATCCCCTCTCCCGAAACCCCACCTGTTGTAGTAGAGCCTTTAACTAATGTTGCAAGCAGTAGTATGGGTGTCAGAAGGGGGAAAAGGGTTACTAGTTTTGGAACTAACTCTGAGTCTGGTCCTTTAAGGCGTCTGTGATTCCAACACCACAAGTATTCCAATGTGGGTGTATCGGGTATTTGTGCCAAATTTGGTCCAGTGAATGAAAATCCATCCTGCATATCAGATATTTACATTATGATTCATAACAGTAGCAAAATTACAGTTACGAAGCAGCAATGAAAATAATTTTATGGTTGGGGGTCACCACAACATGAGAAACTGTATTAAGGGGTCACAGCGTTAGAACCACTGCTATAAGAAGTTGCCTTGACAGTTAAAGTAGAGTATTGTGCTATAATTGGCTAGTGTGAGAGCTAGTTGTAGGGCAATGAAGTCCGCTCCTTTATTTTATAGTTGATAGACTGACATATGGCAGCCTGCTTCCTTCAAGGCTGTAAACAAAATTTAGTACCTCTACAAAGGTGATGAGAGAGAAAGAGAGGGGGAAGAAAAAGAAAGAAAGCCTCTCTCATATCACTTTCAATTGTCTGAACAAAAGTTCCTTACTTTTCCAACACATAAATGGCCATTTTTATCCATATATAAAACACTTTTCAGTGGATAATTGAAATATCACATTTAAATTCCTCTGTTCTTCCTCTGATGTCCAATTACAATAGTAATCATGTCAATACATACTTAGGTCAAGTTTCTATATGGCTTTTTAGAGCATTTTTGAAAAACAAAGCATGGGTTCGACGTTTTGCATTGTCTATGTACAGGCCCTCTCTTGCTCAGCATTAAAATGATCCAAATATGGTAATGGAAAAACATCTAAACGACTAAAAGTTCTTTCACGTATTTGCTCAGTAACTTGTGATTTTGTAAACTCTTCACAAACACAATTGTCCCAGCCACCTACTGCAAAACACAATACTTACCTCTCTTAAATCGTTGTCCAAACCAATGTGCTCTGAATGTTGTCGGATGCGATCTTTCCGGCGCTGTGCTGTAGCGCTGCGACTCACCCACCGACTAAGTTTATTTGATAGAAGGGAAAGAGAGTGGGGAAACTGTATTAGAAATGTCATTTGAACAATCATTTGGACCAAAAAAGGTTTTAACACTGTTATCACACATTTTTACAAGCCTCACTTCTCTGCAAAGTGCTACAAAGGTCTCCTATTTTTAGTTCTCCCTAAGTTGCCCCCGGTAGCACAATGGGTAAAACCCTTGTGCCGGCAGGACTGAAGACCGACAGGTCAGAGGTTCGAATCCAGGGAGAGAATGGATGAGCTTCCTCTGTCAGCTTCCAGCTCCCCATGCGGGACATGAGAGAAGCTTCCCCTAAGGATGGTAAAACATCAAAACATCCGGGAGTCCCCTGGGCAACGTCCTTGCAGACAGCCAATTTCCTCACACCAGAAGGAACCTGCAGTTTCTCGAGTCGCTTCTGACATGAAAAAATAAAGTTCCACCTAGAGAATGCACAGTGAATCACTGGGACTCATCATTCAACCATCCGTCTTCTCTGGCTGGAACTATCAGCAGAATTTGGGCCATTATGACACATTAAAATCTTGTCAAGATGAAATAGTGAAGACAGCATATCATTAATACATTTTGAGTTACTCTTTTCTGGCTAATACAAACACAGAAGTGGAAGCAACTTCAAAGTTCAAATTAGTCCAAAATTCACATATTAATATCCTTGATAAGTACCGTATATTCCGGCATATAAGACAACTAGGCATATAATACGACCCCCAATTTTTCCAGTTAAAATATAGAGTTTGGAATATATTCACCGTACAAGACTACCCCTCTTCCAACGCATACCAAATAATTTTTTTAAAGCATCAGATTTGATTTCAAAATGGTAATTTTCCTATTACTGTACCTCCTTCTCTGCCTCTCAGATCTCGCACATGCGCACCTGCACCGCTTCACTGCAGTCTTCAGGAGAGAGATTTGAGCAGCAGAGGAGGAGGTACGGTAATAGGATACAAGGGCGGGCTAGACAGGTAAAAGAGGTGTGTTTTTCTGGGCCTCTTCTCTTTTTTCCATACCCTGGGCACCCCTGACGCCTGCAGCTTGGTCCGCCCTTCACTTACACCTTCCTGGTGAGGTGCCTCTTCACCTCACCATCGGGACCGCATTAAGTCCACGAATCCTGATGAATGGATTTTCTTCTACCGTACTTGTACAGCGTTGCCCTTAATGCTTTCATACAGTCACTGCATACGGCACGGATGCGGCCACTGCCATTTTTGAGCTCCCCCCAAAATATGCAGCAACCACAGATTCTCCAATCTGGATTGGAAATTTCAGCACCCGCTCTATAAGACGACTCCCGCGTATATGACTACCCCCACATATAAGACTACTCTTGTGTATATGACTATTCCCGTGTATAAGACGACCCCTGAATTTTGAGAAGATTTTCTTGGGTTAAAAAATAGTCTTATACATCAGAATATACGGTAGTAAACCAAGGACTGTTTACCATCAGTTCCATGGTGGAACAGCATGTGCTATCAAATTGCTTGCCCTAATGTTTAAATCGTGTTAGTACAGCAGGTTCTCCAGCAAAGGATCACCGCCTTGTCGGGGCGCTGGAGCTTGAGCACCTCAATGATGTCATGAGCGAAACCGTGAAGGGCCACCCAAGACGGGGCGGTTGTGGCAGAGAGGTCAGACCAAGCGTGATCCCTGGGGAAGGCAATGGCAAACCACTCCAGTATCCTTGCCAAGAAAACTAAATGGACCAGTACAACCAGAGATATGTCGGTATGCCATTGGAAGATGGGACTCCCAGGTCGGAAGATGGCAAAAATGCTACTGGGGAGGAGCAGAGGATAAGTTCAACTAGCCCCAGATGTGATGACGCAGCTAGCTCAAAGCCGAAAGGAAGGCTAGCGGCCGACGGTACTGGAGGTGAACGACGAATCCGATGCTCTAAAGATCAACACACCATAGGCACCTGGAATGTAAGATCTATGAGCCAGGGCAAATTGGATGTTGTTATTGGCGAGATGTCAAGACTAAAGATAGACATTTTGGGGGTCAGCGAACTGAAGTGGACTGGAATGGGCCACTTCACATCAGATGACCACCAGATCTACTACTGCGGACAAGAGGAACATCGAAGAAATGGAGTAGCCTTCATAATTAATAAGAAATTCGCTAAAGCAGTGCTTGGATACAATCCAAAAAATGACAGAATGATCTCAATTCGAGTGCAAGGAAAGCCTTTCAACATTACAGTGATCCAAATATACGCCCCAACCACAGCTGCTGAAGAAGCAGAAGTAGATCAGTTCTATGAGGATCTGCAGGACTAATGGATAATACACCAAAAAGAGACATTATTTTCATTACAGGAGACTGGAATGCCAAGGTGGGAAGTCAAATGACAACTGGGATCACAGGCAAGCATGGTCTGGGAGAACAAAATGAAGCGGGACGCAGGCTGATAGAATTTTGCCAGGAAAACTCGCTGTGTATAACGAATACTCTCTTCCAACAACCTAAAAGACGGCTTTATACATGGACCTCACCAGATGGTCAACACCGAAATCAGATTGACTACATCCTTTGCAGCCAAAGGTGGCGGACATCCATCCAGTCGGTGAAAACAAGACCTGGGGCTGACTGTAGCTCAGATCACGAACTTCTTATTGCCCAATTTAGAATAAAAATAAAGAGATCAGGGAAAATACACAGACCAGTTAGATATGATCTCACTAACATTCCTAGCGAATATACAGTGGAAGTGAAGAACAGATTTGAAGGACTAGATTTAGTAAACAGAGTCCCAGAAGAACTATGGACAGAAGTCCGAGACATTGTTCAGGAGGCGGCAACAAAGTACGTCCCAAAGAAAAAGAAAACCAAGAAGGCAAAATGGTTGTCTGCTGAGACACTGGAAGTAGCCCAAGAAAGGTGGAAAGCAAAAGGAAACAGGGATAAGGGGAGATATGCCCAGTTAAATGCGCAATTCCAGAGGTTAGCCAGAAGAGATAAGGAACTATTTTTAAATAAGCAATGCATGGAAGTGGAAAAAGACAACAGAATAGGAAGGACAAGAGACCTCTTCCAGAAAATTAGAAACATTGGAGGTAAATTTCAGGCAAAAATTGGTATGATAAGAAACAAAGATGGCAGGGACCTAACAGAAGCTGAAGAGATCAAGAGAAGGTGGCGAGACTATACAGAAGATCTGTATAGGAAGGATAATAATATTGAGGATAGTTTTGACGGTGTGGTGAATGAATTAGAAACAGACATCCTGAGGAGTGAGGTTGAATGGGCCTTAAGAAGCATTGCTAACAACAAGGCAGCAGGAGATGACGGGATCCCAGCTGAACTGTTTAAAATCTTAAAAGATGATGCTGTCAAGGTGATGCATGCCATTTGCCAGCAAATATGGAAAACACAAGAATGGCCATCAGACTGGAAAAAATCAACTTATATCCCCATACCAAAAAAGGGAAATGCGAAAGACTGCTCAAACTTCCGTACAGTGGCCCTTATTTCTCATGCCAGTAAGGTAATGCTCAAGATCCTGCAAGGGAGACTCCAGCAATACATGGAGCGAGAGTTGCCAGATGTTCAAGCTGGGTTTAGAAAAGGTAGAGGAACGAGAGACCAAATTGCCAATATCCGCTGGATAATGGAGAAAGGCAGGGAGTTTCAGAAAAACATCTACTTCTGCTTCATTGACTATTCTAAAGCCTTTGACTGTGTGGATCATAATAAATTGTGGCAAGTTCTTAGTGGGATGGGCATCCCAAGCCACCTTGTCTCTCTCCTGAGGAATCTGTACAAGGACCAAGTAGCAACAGTAAGAACTGACCATGGAACAACAGAGTGGTTCAAGATTGGGAAAGGCGTACGGCAAGGCTGCATCCTCTCACCCAACCTTTTTAACTTGTATGCAGAACACATCATGCGATGTGCGGGGCTGGATGAATGCAAGCTGGGGTGAAAATTGCTGGAAGAAACATTAACAACCTCAGATATGCAGATGACACCACTTTGATGGCCGAAAGCGAGGAGGAGCTGAGGAGCCTTCTAATCAAGGTGAAAGAAGAAAGCACAAAAACTGGGTTGCAGCTAAACATAAAAAAACCAAGATTATGGCAACAAGAATGATTGACAACTGGAAAATAGAGGGAGAAAACGTGGAGGCCGTGACAGACTTTGTATTTCTAGGTGCAAAGATTACTGCAGATGCAGACTGTAGCCAGGAAATCAGAAGACGCTTACTTCTTGGGAGGAGAGCAATGTCCAATCTCGATAAAATAGCAAAGAGTAGAGACATCAGAATGGCAACAAAGATCCGCCTAGTCAAAGCCATGGTATTCCCTGTAGTAACATACGGATGTGAGAGCTGGACCTTAGGGAAGGCTGAGCGAAGGAAGATCGATGCTTTTGAGCTGTGGTGTTGGAGGAAAGTTCTGAGAGTGCCTTGGACTGCGAGAAGATCCAACCAGTCCATCCTCCAAGGAAATAAAGCCCGACTGCTCACTGGAGGGAAGGATACTAGAGACAAAGTTGAAGTACTTTGGCCACATCATGAGGAGACAGGAAAGCCTAGAGAAGACAATTATGCTGGGGAAAGTGGAAGGCAAAAGGAAGAGGGGCCGACCAAGGGCAAGATGGATGGATGGCATCCTTGAAGTGACTGGACTGACCTTGAAGGAGACCCTGGGGGTGGTGACGGCCGACAGGGAGCTCTGGCGTGGGCTGGTCCATGAGGTCACGAAGAGTCGGAGACGACTGAACGAATGAACAACAACAACACAGCAGGTTAACCATCAGCTGCAGTAAATCTTGCGAATCAAAAGGTTGATAGTTTGAACCCTGGGTTGGAATGAGCTCCTGGCCTTTAGCCCAGCTTCTGCTTACCTAGCAGCTCAAAAGCAAAGTATGAGTAGATAAATAAGTTCTGTTTAAAGCGGGCAGGTATTTAAGGCACCCATAAGAAAATGCCAGAAAATGCCGGTAATTCGATCAAGGAGGAAGTTTAT